TCTCTCTCTCTCTGTCTCTGTCTCTCTCTCTCTCTCTCTCTCTCTCTCTCTCTCTCTCTCTCTCTCTCCTCTCTCTCTCTCTCCTCTCTCTCTCTCTCTCTCTCTCTCTCTCTCTCTCTCTCTCTCATTTCACACACACACACACACACACACACACACACACACACAGAAGGGCAGTGGCTGGCGGGGGGAGCCGGCAGCAGCACGTCTACGGGGAGGGAGAGATTGAAGGAGTGGTGTAAGAAGAGGCATCATGGGACCTCGCAAGGCAGCCGAGACTGCCTTGTCCATGTACATTGCTGATCATCGCAAAGAACTCCAGGATCAAAAACCCGAGGTACGCGTCGCTGATGGCTCGGTCCGGCTGACCCCAGATCTTAGAGCGCCCGACTGGCTCGCTTTGCCCGACTTGCCCGACGCACATGACTCATTGCTGGCCTGTGGGCTTGGTGCTGGAACCTGTCTAGGCCTCGGCTGAAGATTTGGATGAGGAACTCACCAGCCGCTTTCAGAGTGCGTCACCTCATTGGTTCTTCTCATTGGCCGACCCCATCCACACCCCGCTCCCTGCTTGATTCAGGTGTCTGGTTGTTTCTGCCTGTAGCTTTGACCGAAGAGGCACTCAAAAAGCTCGGTGAGCGAGCCGATGCTGTCAATGAACAGAGAGAGCGATCACGGCGCAAGCGAATGCGAAAGCGTGCCAAGGCTGAAGCCGAATTTCGCGATGACGGCAAGGTGGGTGCTTGACCACAGGCTTCCCATCTCCAAAGTCTGTCACCCCTCCAAACTCACGTATCATCCTTGGTCGCAGTCACATCTGAAGGAGCTTGTGGGTGAGGGTCTTCTCGGACCGGATCCAGAGGAGGAGGCCCCCTCCACCCCCGTAACTGGTGGTGCCAACCCATCGTCAACCCCGAATAATGATAAATCAGATGGCCAGAATGCCACGTCCAGCCCCAGCAAGCGGGCCAAGTCCATCACCGGTCTTGCGGGTGGTCCAGTCAGTAGCAAGCATTTACAGGCCATCAAGCTGGCCACCAACATTGATCGGCGTGAGGTGAGCGCAACGCCTCAAGTGGCCAGCACGTACCCATGGTCCCACCAGAATCATCTGGTCTCATGGCTGGATCCGGGCTCTTTTGTGTGCAGATTGATGTCGATGGCTTCACCCAGGGTGCGATTGTGGCATGTGGAGATGCATACTTTCGGGTGACACCAAACTTTAGCTTTCCCAAACTTACTTGAGCGCCCGTCGGCTCATCCTGACAGACCCCTGTCCATTATCCATGCACATTCCGTGTACTCCTCGACAAAGACACTGTGCGGACCTTTGCCCTTTGTTGCCCCTTTAATCGACTCTGTTCTTCTACGTCGTCTCTTCTCGAGCTCCAGCAGATGACCGCCTTTGCAAGCACTGAAAAAAAGGACGCAGCCAAACAACCGAGAGAAAAGCGTTCAATTGCAAAGCAGAACGCACCACATGACCTCAAGCCATCAGAGGCCCGAGAGGGTGTAGCTTGCCTGCGCCACAACAACTAGCATATACAAAAGGAGAAAAGGCCGACCCGTCGTCACCAAGGCCTCCAGAGACCAAGGGCACTTGCCCTTGCCAGGGCAGCATCGCAGAGACAACGGAAACGGGGCACCCGAGAACCGCTGGAGCGGGGAAAAGTGGGCGGTAAATGGGGTTTAGCATTGATCAACAACGACGACAACCTTGTAAGCCACAGGAACAAGGACAACAACTACAACAGCCAAGAGTAGCAGCGATGCCTCACCGGGTGAGCATCATACCAACAGAATACGGGGCAAAGCCATTTGTATGCAACCGCAGCAAAACAACAAGAACACACGGCATCATCATGAAAGAAACACGATCGGGATAGTGCTGCGCACCCTTCACACAATGCCTCAAACAACAAACACAGGGCGCCAAGGTCTGGCTGTGGAGGGCAGAGACAAAAGCTTGACAGCGAGCATCAGGGCTCTTGTGGCGTTTGGCTTTAGCAGCAACCACCGCCTGACTTGGGCTCTGGCTTGTTGTCGGGCTTGATAATGTCCTTCTCGTGCTCATGGGGCGTGGAGACCTCCTTCGAGTCCATTTTCTGCTTGATGGACCGAGCCATGGCAAAAAAGGCCTCTTCAACATGGATCTTGGACTTGGCACTCGTCTCGAAGAAGGGAACGCCATACTCTGCCGCCAGCTAAAAGGATGGGACCAGGCAAGTAAGCTTGATCAGCTGTCGGCATGCCGTAGACCAATGCCGAGGCCTGAAATATGGGGTAATGTGTGCTGCTGTGCTGGGCTGGGCGTTGTCGGGTGAATTCAGAGGCCGACAGGGCACCAACGAACCTTTTCGCCTTGCTCCGTGCTGACCACGCGCTTGTCTTCCATGTCACACTTGTTGCCAAGGATCATGCGCTCCACGTCCGAGGAGGCGTTTTGCTCAATGTTGCGAATCCAAGTCTTGATGTTATCAAACGACTTTTCCGCCGTAATGTCATACACCAACATGATGCCCTAATCACAGCACCGACGCAGCCGCGAAGACAAACAACCGCGCGATTTATGAAGCAGGCAGGGCACCTCGTATGAAAACGCCCACAACGAGGGGACGAGTGGTGGATACACAGGCTGACGGGCCGACAACCGCACTTACCATGGCACCGCGGTAATAGGCGGTGGTGATCGTGCGGAAGCGCTCCTGACCAGCAGTATCCCTGGACCGAGCACGTGCGGGTGAGTCAAGATGAGCAAGGCTCCCTTTGAGGGTTCGTCAAACGACCAGGCAGAAGAGTTGGCACCACACCATATTTGGAGCTTGATTTTTTTGTCGTCCAGCTCAATCGTCTTGATCTTGAAGTCAATGCCTGAACACCACGACGAAGAGGGTACATGAGCGAGCCGAGAGCAGCAGCAAAGTAGCCGGCTTGATACACGGGCGCCGTGTTGGGCCAGACTTTCGAAGGCAGTGCACACACACACACACACACACACACGCACGCACACACGCACGCACGCAGGGAAACGCACCAATGGTGGAGATGAAAGTCGAGTTGAATTGGTCCTCTGAGAAGCGGAAAAGAATGCAGGTCTTGCCGACACCGCTATCACCAATCAGCAGGAGCTTGAAGAGGTAATCGTAGGCCTTGCTCATGGTGCTGGGTCCGGAAGAGAGGGGACACACTCAATCAAACAAGCAAAACTTCAACGAACCGCCAACACGGCAGAGCCTAGGTCGACAAAGGCACCCCCCAAACAATTGAGAAAAGCAAATGGCAGCGGGAGGAGACTGGGAGCAACTGGCAGCAAAGACATTCTCCTTCTCTGCCCTGAAAACACTCCATGCAAAGGGGGACAGGGCACGCTTTTGGCGCTTGACACACGGGGCAAAGGGATGGACGCACTTGAAATCAACAGAAGCTAAATCACAACAAGAGCTCGGGCGAAGGAGGGCAGCGAGTATCGACGAATCCTTCTACCCGCACACCAAGCCGAGATCAAGCACCGACGGTGAGGTATCAGCACAAAAGACATGAATGCACTTGTTCATCCCGACCACTCTGCAGCAAGATGACGGCGCTGCCCACGCCGGCCCCGAGTGGCATTCGCCTCGTCTGCCCTTCGTCCGCCCCCGCAACGAGTCGTTCCGCGTCATTCAGGAGCTCTTTTTCACACCAGGAGAGCAGTGACGCATCTCCACGCACGCACGCACGCCCACACGACTTCATCGGCTCTTTCCAATCCCCCACCATAATAGCCTCAGTACGCGTGTGCTGCTGATCGCCGCGCAGGACGACGGTGCCACGAGTTGGCGCTGCCCTTTTCGCGTGCACCGTCAACAACGCCCATCCCAACAACACTCACTCTCTCAAATGTGAAATGCCACAACCGCACTCTCTTGTTTGCCATTGATTTCAGCATTATCACAACAACGCACTCGACGTCCCTCTCTCCTCCCTGCACCGTCGCCTCCACCCTCTCTTCCCGCTTTACACCCAAAGAGCAGGAGTTTTACTAACATTTGGTAATAGGCTAGTATTACCAAATGGAATGGGGTGTTGGCCCTTTGAACCACTTTGGCTTTCAAGGTGTAACACGTTTTGAAATTGTGTTGCAAATTCTTCCCGCCAGGATTTAAACCCCGGCTGGGGTTGATGGTGGGCGACCTTGACCCGGAAGATGACGGCGACGTGACACGCGCTTCTTTCACGCTTTGGGATGGTTGGTCGTGGACACATTCAAGGGGGAGGTCTGAAAAGAAAGAAAAAAAAAATCAATAAAGCCACCGAGATGCCACTGGCACGAACAAGTTTGAATTGCATGGGAAGAAGTCAGCCGTTGGCTACTTGGGGGCGTAGTGTCGAGCTCCAAAGATGGTTGATCCCACTCGCACGTTGGTGCTGCCCTGACGAATAGCTGTCTCGTAATCGGACGACATGCCCATGCTGAGCTCGAGCTCCTCTGCATCACGGCCGAGTTCGCTCGCCACTGCCGCCCGACACCGAACCAGTGTCTAGTGCACCATAGCAATGTGAGGAGACCACAACGATGAGCTGGACTCAGCAGCAACCGCTCCCGAAGAAAAAGCACCACCACCACCACCACCACCATCACCGCCAACAGCAACGACAACAACAACCGACAGGGTGCTTAAGAAGTTTGAGATTAGCTGACCCACCTCAAAGTCGGGGTTTGTTTCCTCCGGAGCCAAAGATTGCTCAAGGTTGCCGATGGTCATCAAACCGCATAGTCTGGTCCCACACGTGAATTTGTAAGCGACTGCGCAACGTTCACCAAACGTAGCCACCAGAGAGTTCCACACAAGTCCTTGAGTTGTACAGCACCCGCGCGTCATACCGAAGAGCTGGGCATGAGGCAGTGATATGCTTGGCCACGGCCACCACTTCATCCTCTAGCACGCCGTGCTTGTCTAGGTTGACCCAGCAAAACAATGCACCCATCACCTTTGACCGTTTGCCGTTGACATGAAACACGCATGAGAAAAGCTTTGAAAGACTTACTCTCCTCACGGCTCGTGTTAACCTGAATGAGGACCGAGACGGTCCGCTCTTGCTCGGCAAACGTCTGAACAACGACAAAGTAAGTGCATGCACCATCACCAGCGAAGCCGCTGCAATCTTTACTCGGAAGTGACAGACCTTGTTCAGAGCGTCAGCGAGCTTCTGGCTCGACACTGTCTCTACCATGGCCAAACCCTGCACGGCAGCCAGCTGCTTGACCTTGTTGCGCTGCAAATGACCAATGAAATGCCACTCAATGTCTTCTGGACACTACACCACGCCCACGCGTCTGTGAGGCCTATGCCACTCATCCTTGCGCCGTCCAGCCACACCCAGCTGGCGATGACACCCTTGACGATCAAAAGGGGCTATAGTTAACATACCCGAGGATCTGCTGCCTTATCCACCAACTCCTGCACCTACACCACCGTTGTCCACAGGCACAAGCAAACGCATGGTCAGGCGTATGGTATCGATGGTTCCAACATCCAGCGTCACAGCCAAGCGCGCACAAGACTCTGCCTCCTCGGCTAACATGCCTGACACCTGTTGTGCTGGACGAGCTCTTACATAGTTTTCACCAAAGCGCCGATGGCCGCACTGCTCGTGAATCTTCAGAATCATGTCAAGTGGTTTGGTCTTGCTGACTGCCACCAATCGAGGCACTGCCGCACGGCCGTGCGCCTGCATCACCATCAACAGCCCGTCATGACACCTCTCCACAGCCCACTCAAACGCCACCGCCGCTTCTTCCTGCCCTCTTGAGATAGCAGCGCCAAAACGCACCTGTGCGGCGGCCGCCACGCTGGCCTTGACCTCTTCAAAATTGGACACAACGTCCACCTGTGCGTCGGCGTCCGACATGGCGACGCGATATGTCCGTGCCCAACGCTGCGTGGTCCACCGCACCCCAGTCTTTAGCACTCGTCTGCCCGCCCCAGACAACAACATCAGCGACGCTTCCCCGAGTGCAACCCAAAACTGCTTTTTGGAGCTCTCTCTCTCTCTCTCTCTCTCTCTCTCTCTCTCTCTCTCTCTCTCTCTCTCTCTCTCTCTCTCTCTCTCTCTCTCTCTCTCTCTCTGCAATGTTTTTTTTTTTTCTCTTTTTCTTTTTTTGTGTGACAAACGCTGCTGCTGCAAGGCGCAGACGAAACGCCCTGATGGGTGAAAAGTGGCACTTCCAAATGAAGATTAGCTGAATTCTAGTGTCGGTCCGGCCACAAGGCTGCTACTATTGGCTTCGCTTGGGCAAAGACGGGTGAAACTGCTCCTGATCGAACAAAAGCGGGCGGCGCTTGGGTTGTTCTTCAACCTTGGTCCTGATGAGTCGAATATCCAGATCACACAGATGAGGGGTGAGCGAGGAGACTGCCTGCATAAAGCACGCCCAGCAGGTCAGATTCATCAACCTACTCGTGCAACAGCTTGAAGAGACCAGTGCCAATGCGCATCGGCACACCCAGAATAATGCACTCGGACACGCCGTCCACGCTATCCTGCTCGCATAAGAACCCAGATAGAGGCCCAAGAATGAGTGTGCAATATGGTCCGGGACCGATCGGTCATTCTTCTGATAAGAATTCGCGTGCGCAACACGCACCGTTGTGCCGCGTAGTGCAGCGTCAAAGAGATGGTCCGTTGTCTTCTCGAAAGAAGCCAGCATAAAGACCGACTCTTTCATCTTGGCAATGCCAAAGCGCGTAATGCCCAGCACCTCACCCTGCAAAAGACGCACGTGTGTTCCGGAACACATCAACCAAGCGTGAGGGATTGTAAAAAAAACAAGGGTTTCGTGAGATCACGGCACGCGGAATGGAAACAACAAAGTGTCTGAGGAAATCAGAGCACGTTCATGACGTACCTTGAACGTCATGAGATCGCTCATGAGCATTGTGTGGCGCGGGTTGATGTGGATACCGTAGTTGGACATGACATACTGCACTTGGTCCATGATGATGGATCTAACGAACGAAACATTCCATCAAGAAGCGCCCACGTCAGGACGCAAGGTGACATTACACAATCCCATGTCAAATCCCTCGCCGACCCCATCCGCCAGGTCACTAGCTCGTACCGGGCTGCTTCGATACCGAGGGTCTGCTCCAATTCCATGACGTGATTGCAATCGACTGTCGTGCCAATGACGCCTACAAAAAGGGCCACGGGCACGATGCATTATCGTGAGATGGTGAGACCTTGAGTCAAGCGTCGCCATCACCGGGTGCTTCTTGTGCCGTATACCGGGTGTAGCCATGACGCCTTTAAGATCAGTGCCATCAATGGCGATGCTGAAAGTGCCTTCGTTGGGATCCTTGGCAATAATCGCGCGCCGAATGCCTGGCAGACCGGTAATGACGCAGTTTGGCAGCACATTGGCCAGGTGGCGCAGAGCATGCACCCGGTTGGCTACGGTCTTGCTGTCACACACGGGCACCGCCTGGAACACCTCACTGCTCATCACCGACAAATGCTCGTGTTTGATCTTGGTGAGGCGACTGGCTGCAATAGAGTCGATGATAGTGTTCATCGTCACCTCCAAATGCTTGCGCTGGATCACCTTGAGGTTGAGCTTGACACGAACGTAACCCCCATCCTCATTGCACACCACGTCGAAATGGTCCGCCACCTATATTTGGAGTGACATCAAGGTGTGAGAAGGCAATGGTGTGCGCCCATCGTCCTTTGACTCGCCACCCGCTTTGACCAACGACACTTGGTTGCCCCTGGGCACAGACCTCGCCGAGCGTAAGCGTCTCCAAGCGCGCCTTGACTTGACGCGCAAACGACTCTTCCCGATCATTCTCCAGCTTGGCAGTGATGACAGGTGTACTAATGTTCTTGGCGGCGTTGATAATTTCCTTGATACGAGGCACACCCAGCGTCACGTTCATGGCCGCGACACCAGCAAAATGGAAGGTTTTGAGAGTCATCTGCGTGCCCGGCTCGCCAATACTCTGGGCACCGATGGCGCCCACAGCCGTGCCGGGCTCCACCACTGTCCGACGGAACTTGAAGAGAGCCTTCTCCACAAAAATACGCATGTCCTCACGTGTCACACTCATCAAGTTGTTCACCAACTAAAAGGCCAAACCCAACCAATCAAGGGTCCCAGCGTGAGTGCTCATTTATCAACCAAAAGAGTCACATAAAGAGTCAAGATGAGTCACGAGTCTGAAGGGACTTGGCAGAACACGTACGTGACGCTTGGCGGGGTCATCTTCAGCAGGGGCCTCGAGGGCTGGTGCCAAGCCAATGCGTTGCCGAATCTCTGCCAGCTGCTGTGCCCGCTTCTCCAAAAAGACGCGCAGCTGGTTGAGGAAGAAATGCTCCTTGTCTGCTGACACATCCAAGCCCAGTGGGCAATATGGATGATCGTAGTCACGCAAGTCCTGCTCCTTCAAAATAGACTCGAATGTCGAAATCACCTAGTCAACAAGCCCAACACAGTTCCACGGTGAAAGCCCAACATCTACCAACCAAACTGACCATGGAGGGTCAACAAACATACAGCAGCAGGTTGCAGCGTCACAGGTGGGGGGCCATCGCGGTCCGAGGCCAAGACGTGCACAAAGAGATGCTCCAAATCCACAGCGCAGTCATCCGTCTCCATGCCTTGAGGATCCAGGCCATCATCGCCGTAGCAAAACTGGATCATGTGGCCTGAGGAGTTGCGAACGGTGGTATCATAGTGCACGACCAAGTCCTCGAGTGCCTTCATAAGACGACGCTGCATATAGCCGGTCTCGGCGGTCTTCACGGCCGTGTCAACCAGACCTGACCGTGGTAGTTTTGAAAATGAGTCGATCGAAACCGGATACTCTTACCCGCGCGCCACGATCGCCTTTGCACGCCGTACGACAAGATAGACAAACCTTCACGACCAGACATGGTATGGAAGAAGAATTCAGCCGGGGTCAAGCCCGTGTAGAAGCTGTTGGCAACAAAGCCCTTGGCCATGGGGACCTTGGCGAATCGTCGAAAGTGCGGCAAAGGGCTATCCGAGTTGATACACAGCAAAAAAGATGAATACAAAACGAATACGATAACGACCATGCGCTTCGGTGCTGGCTTGCGTACCGGTCCTCAAATCCGTTGGGCACACGCGAGCCGTTCAAAATTTGCTGCCCGACCAAGGCAATCATCTAAACAGAGCCCGCAAAAGTACAGCAACGAGACGAAGACCACGAGCAAAACAAAATGAGACTCTAGGTTGGGCTGGTTCAGGAGCGGCAGCCAGGGGCATGGCGAGAACGCACCTGAGCCATGTTAATGGGACTGCCCTTGGAGCCACATTTGGCCATGATCTTGGGGGCGTTGTAAGGGGAAAGCACCTTACGACACAGGCTACCAGCCTCCTCACGGACCTGAACCACAGGAAACATTCGGCAGTGAGATCCGATGTGGCACACACTGAAGCAACATTTCATAGCCATGACAAGCGCACCTGGTTGAGATCTTTACGAATGAAGGATTCGAGGGTTTCCTCAGCTGACTGGCCTGGCTGGCATTCAATCCGGCCCGACTTGTACTCGGCAATGTAGCCACTGCATTTGTCAAACGCCGTCTTGATCAAGACGGCCTTCTCATCGGTCAGCTCTTGCGGCGGAGTAACGTCCTCTGTGCATCCGAGATCAGTGTGGCACAATGAGGGGTGTTCGTTGACAAGGTGCGAGGCCATGGCACGGCGCTCTTACCCAAGCCAATGGAGAAACCGCGCTCCATGAGGTAGCGAGTCGTCAACTTGGTCATGCGCAGCATACCCTATTGACGGCCAATGGAGTGTTGACATGAATTATGGTTTGTCGTACGCACACACAAAGGTTGTATACGATGGGCGTACATCGACTGCTGCTTGGGCACTGTAATCGCGCAAGAGGCGATAGAAGATGGTGCTCTTGCTCTCGCCCACATTCGCCTGTCACAAAAATCGTGCAAAATGAACAGATGCACCCGAGAGCTGATCAAAGTCTGGCAGACAATGCTCTCCAGACCCTCACCTTATCCAAAAACCCACAAAGAAGACGCGAGGAACGAATGATGACAAAGCCGTCTTCGGGACAGAGTGAGCGTTCGCCAATCGTCAGATCGCGGCCAAGCTTCTTGACTTCCTATGATATTGGAATGATGCAACACAAACCAGGTGGAACATTAGAATTCATGGCCATGCTTATGTGCATGCGCGCGTGTGCGCGCGCGTAAGTCACTTGACAAGGTCGAGTGGAATCGGGAGCGGGGTCTGGGGCAGCAAGCTTTGGACACGCGCAGACGCCACGCCACAAGACTCATACCGATTTCTCGTAGTTTTTGTCAAAGCTCTTGTTCTTCTCCGTCAAGTCAACTTGATGCGGATCATCCTTGCTCGGGCGCATCATCATGCTAAAGACTTGTTTGCCTAAAAACGGAAAATAAAGCGTTGCATGCAAACCCAAGGTCCATGAGCTTGTGCAGGTGCGCTCCTGTCGGTCAGATAGGACGCTCAACACGAACCAGTCCACATGGCCACGGGCTTGACGATGGCGGGCACTGGCAGGCTGATCTTGAGCGACCCATCGCTAAAAGCGCACACCATCTGCATGACCTTGGCCTTGGTGAAGAACGTGTCTTTTTGGGAGATGAGAAAGCACCCCGTGATGAAATCCTGGCACGCCGCAATGAGCGGCTCGCCATTGCATGGCGTGCACAGGTTGTGCGTGGTGCGCAACAGCAGCGCAGCCTCGGCCTTGGCCTCCTCCGTCTGAGGAACGTGCAGGTTCATCTCGTCACCGTCAAAGTCAGCATTGTACGGCTTGCACACGCACTCGTTGAAGCGAAAGGTACGCCACGGACGAGCCTTGACCTAAAAGGATTCAAGTGTTGAGCCAAACAGAAGAAGAAAGAGAACACGTATGTACGTCCGCGCAAAAGGCCGTGCGTACCCGATGACACATGATACTCATGCGATGAAGAGAGGGCTGGCGGTTGAAAAGAGCGTAGTCACCATCAATCAAGTGCCTCCGCACAATGTCGCCCTTGGCCAGCTCGCGAGCCGACTAAAGAAGAAAGCAAGCAAGGTTAATGAAACGCATCAAATGGTCCCGGGCAAAGAACATCTGGAATCAGAAAGTAGCAGGGTAGGGCCTCGACAACAACGCGCAACCTCACCTTTTGGCGGTTGCAGTGGGCCAAGTCATAGGTGCGCTTGTCGCGTGACTTTTCCAGCAACACGGCGCCAGGGTAGTCTGCGGGAGAGCATGATCATTCTGAGTCATTGACAACAACCTGGGACGTCGCGTCATGGCGAGACGATGCGGACATCGAAGCGGGCTTGGTTGTCACGACGTACTATCGGGGCCGTTCTCCACAGCAGCGCGCAGACGCTGGATGTTGTAATCGTTGACCATCTCGGGGTAGGTCAGGATCTTACAAACGTGATAAGGCACGCACACCTCGTCGATGCTGGCATTTGGATCGGGGGAAATGACGGTACGGCCCGAGTAGTTGACTCGCTTGCCTGTGCATGGCCCAAACAGGACGTGAGGATGAAGAAGGAGAGAACGGAACGCCTGATGTTTTTGTTGAATCCGGCAGGGCGAGCGGCGCACCCGACAAGTTGCCACGAAAGCGTCCCTGCTTGCCCTTGAGCCGCTGGTAAAAGCCACGTGGTGCCTTCTTCGGCTGCAGAGAAAGGATCAAGCACCCGGATGATCCCTGGCATGAGAAAGGAGCTAAATTGTTCTGCAGACGAGTGGAGACACGGGCGGACCTTGAGGTCTTTGGGAAGTCCGGGAAGGTCGCCATTGAAATAGAGCGCCACGTGGACTTGAAGCGCCTCCCACGTCTGCATGATGCGCTCAATCTTCTGACCACCAGCATCTTCGACGCGCTGTAAAAGAAAATGACATTGCCGCAAGTAGGGAAGTCAGCAGACCTTGGGCAATGAACATGTTACGGTCAACGCCCGCTTGCCAAGGAACAACCCACCTTTGCTGGATCAAACAGGTCCCGGTGGATCGTTTCGTTCGAGCGTAGAATTTCTGTGCGTCAGGATGATTGCAAGGGGTATCAGAGGTCGGTTGATGCATTGGCTGTAAGGACGTAAAAAAAAAAAAAAAAAAAAAAAATAACAATGTGCATGAAACAAGAGCCAAGGCAGACCTGCTAGACCCGTGGTAAGAGGGTCTTCATTGGAGCCACTGCCTCCTGTGGCGTCCATGGCCACGGAGGGACGCAAGCAGCCTAGGAACAGCAGACAAAGTAAGGAGAAGGTGGGAAGATGTAGGGACAAGCATTAGTTGGCAAGAGTTGGCCTGCGACGGGGACTAAGACTGGGGAGTGTCAGGGTTGGAAGTCGTTGAAGGGGGAATGGCTGGGGCGTGACGCACCAGGAGGAACAATGAGATTTGTCAAAATGAGTTTTTCGGGGCGACCACAGAAGGGATCCATGTCCAGGAGGGGGCAGTCCTGGTCGGGCACGGCGCGGAGAAGTTGCAAGGCCCGAAGCGGGTTGAGTTCATCCTGAACCTTGTCCGCCTTGAGAGAAGCGCTCAAGTCTTTGACCTCGCTGGCCGCTTCTTGAAAGAGCTGGTGGTGAGCTTCCTAAGGTTCCAAAAAAAAGGACGATGCGGCGTTGATGAGAGGCGCAGGGCACGACCGCAGATGCCAAGTGGGCAGCATGAACGTACGCGCAGCCTGTTGTTTTTCTTGGTAAAGCGTTCGTGGACGATGCGCAAGACAGAGTTCTTGGGGCGCTTTACAACACCATTGCAGGCCGAGCAATGTGGACAGGAAGCCGCGTTTTTGCGACACTGATCGCCAACCTGAAGAGAGCAAACCACATGATAAGGATGCTTGCAGACAAAGCGACCGTTGGAAAGGGTTGGCACCTACTTCTTTGATGATGGCAGCTCGAGGGCCGCGTTCGAGGTTGGGGTCTTGCAAGCGACGCAAGAAAACGGTGGCTTGCTTATGGGAGAGCATGACGCGGCTGCAAGACTATCGTCACGAGGTTCGTGTGGTCGATGGTTGAGAAAGCACGAAGGGGGGTGGGCAGAGCTAACGAGTGTGGACCAGGTTCAGGCTGCCTACCTTGCAGATGCGCTGAAGGCAGGAGAGGGTGGCCTTGAAAAAGCCCACGTGAAAAACAGGGAGCTCAAGCTCAATATGTCCAAAGTGGCCCTCGCATTTCCGAAGGTTCTGTGAGCAGGTGGCACAGTCCAGACTCTTGTCGAACGCACCCTACAGATGAGCAGCAAGGCCGCGTGATGATGGTGTGAGCACAACCAGAACCTCTGGGCCGGACATGTTTGCATTGGGTTTGGGGATGTCGGAAGGCAGATGCTAAGAGAAGAAACGAGCTTACCAATCGTCGATCCAAAGGCCCAAACGGCGCAGGCTTGCGATCCGGCAGGCCGGTGTAGAATTCTTTGGAATAGACGCGCACTTCGGACAGGCGTTGCATCTCATAATGGTCCATCAAACCAAACTGGATGTGGGAGATCTTCTTTGGTGTCTGGTCATCGCGATACTGTTGCTTGGCCATGACGCACGGTCACTGCTGCCAATGCAAAAATGCAAAAGGTTTGCAGAGCCGCCTGGTCCACGCGCCAATGACGGCACCAGCACGGGCACCAACTGCAAAGCAGGGCGTCTGCCAAGAAGGTCTTTTTCACGTGTTTCCCCTGTTGCGCTACAAGGGGCGATACACGGTGAGACCGACCCATAACATGGTTCCAAAGACCCTCCTGCCCCGCCAAGTCAACACACCCACCTACCCACACAGACACGCAGACACACATACGACCATGCAAAATGCATACAACCATTCTCGACCCTGCCAGCGCCCTTCACTCACCTCCTCCGCCGCCGGCGGACAGGGCCGACTGCCAATTTCCCTCTCTCACTAAACAGCGAGAAAACTGAGAGAGAGAGCGAGAGAGAGAGAGAGAGGAAAAAAAATGCCGCGTGTGCGATAGTGTATTTTATACCACACTTTCGCATCGTTACACACAGAGAGAGAGAGACAGACAGACAGACAGACAGAGAGAGAGAGACAGAGAGAGAGAGAGAGAGAGAGACAGAGACAGAGAGAGAGACAGAGAGAGAGACAGACAGAGAGAGAGACAGAGAGAGAGACAGACAGAGAGAGAGAGACAGAGAGAGAGAGAGAGAGAGAGAGAGAGAGACAGAGAGAGAGACAGAGAGAGAGACAGAGAGAGAGACAGAGAGAGAGACAGAGACAGAGAGAGAGAGAGAGAGACAGAGAGAGAGAGAGAGAGAGAGAGAGATAGAGAGAGAGACAGAGACAGAGACAGAGAGAGAGAGAGAGAGAGAGAGAGATGAATTTAGACGAGTTTTTGAGAGATTTTCAGCGTAATTTCGAGCGCAAGGTCAGAGGTGGTGTTGCTTGATGTATGGAAAGCGACAAGGGCCAGCTGGATGCCAACGACCAGATGATGGCAGCAAAAAGCAAGTCAAGGGGTGTGGCCTCCCGCTCCGCTCAGTGTGTAAGCACACAGCCAGCAAAGATGTGCATGAGGTTGTTATAAAGAGAGATACCGTGCAATAAGGCGTCAATGGTCCAAGCGGTAAATCACCTCAGATTGGGCCCGTTGCTTTAGTGTCGCCCCCCACAGCTCCAATTGCTCATCTCATCTTGATAAATAAGGGGATAATCAAAATTCAATGCATTGGTGCTGATGCCTGAAGGAAGAAAACGAGTTGCATGTTGCCTGGCACTCAAGTTGTGGCGACTCCAACTTCGGACGCGCAGGACAGGACAGGACAGAGAAGAGGAGCGTAACAAAGAAAACAGGGCCATCTGTTGTGACATGACGACGCCGAGTCGTCTTGGTTTTGATCGCAGCCGATCACCATTTGAGATTGTCTTCTTAGGAAATTCAACTGAGCCTGGACCAATCGCAAAGCGTAGATCAGGCAAGGAAAAGAAAAAAGAGAGCCAAGAACCAAAGGATGCACCAGGTACCACGACGAGAGACAGGACACAAAAGAGTAGGGGTGACAAGGTGGACTTTGACGAGGCTCGACAAACACAAAAGGACTGCTCAAAGTGAGAGGAAACGGGACAAGGGTGGTTCTAAATCCTTGGGTTGCCCGGCTTGTGCCTGACATGCCCAAAGCCAATGGGGCTTGACACCCATCAAATGCCGAGCGTGTGCCACGGGATGAATCGGGACAACCGGTCCATGGATGTCAAGCAGGCGCTCAAGAGGGCAAAGAACAAAGAAGAGTAAGAAGGGAGGTGTGCCAGGGATCTAGTTCTTGACATAGTTCTCATGTACTCGGGTCTCGACCTTGCAAACCGAGTCCATCAGAATCTCGAGAACCTATTAGGAAGATGGTAACCACAAGAGACAGGTGTGCATGGGGCAAGTGATGAGATGGGACACCGCCAAAAAAAGGAAGGGCGAGATGGACACCTCTCCTTGAGTCAACAACAACAACAACAAAAAAAAAGTGTGCCACGGATAGCAAGGCTTGCAAAGAGAGAAAGATGCGATGGAGCAGGCGTGTCCAAAGTTTAAAGAAAATATTGATCAAGCGAAAAAGTCATACCTTGCTGCGGTTGGCGTCGACCGAGGTCTTCATGGCCTTGAGCTTCTCGGTGGTGTCGGCCTGGATGCGCTCAGAGTCTTGGGTGCTGGAGCCAGTGTTCTGCAAGGGGAGGGGCGAAGAACGTGAGAGCAGGAAGTCATGGCGAGAATAACGTTTGAAGACGTGTCTCTTGGCCTTGCAGGTCAGAACGAGCCGGTGACGGGTTGAGGCGCAGCACAAACCTTGACACCTTCGGCGTCAAACTCCTGCTGCTTCTGGTTGCGGAAACGCTCAATCTCATCGACGGCCTCCTTCTTGGCCTGCTTCATGCGAAGGATCTTCTCTGCAGACGGGTGTATTCGGGAGAATGGGTGCAGACACGAGTATAACACGCAAGTCAGTGCAACTCACTCGCACAACGAGACGTGCCCGATGGTGTGGATGGACTACACACGCCTTTGGGAGGCAGGCTGGCACCAGACGGAGAGAGAGAGAAAAAAAAACTGCTTGTTCTACCCCTCTCACCAAGCACCTGCTAGTCTCGGAAGAAAAGGTGGCTACAAGAACAACTAACCGTTGCGAGCCTGCTTGACGAGCTCCTTGGCACGGGTCTCAGCATCAATGAGCTGCTTGACACCACGAGACTGAACACCGCGATCGGCCATTCTGCTGGTTCTTTGGAGAAGAGAGGAGCGAGCGAAAGCACCAAAAAGTCTATCACAACGACAAAGAGGCAAAATAAAAACCCGCGTCAGTGAGAGGTAACTCGAATGGCAAGGAAGAGACCAACAGGTTCCTCACGAGCGCCGGCCGGGGTTCAAGCCGGCGTCGCTGTGCCACCCGCACCGACAAGAAAAAAAAAAAAAAAGAATACTGGAGGGGCGAGGCGACAGTCTGGTCGGTGGCTTTCACACAACACAGAGACGTCTGCAACGCCTTGTCTCTGAGACTGCACGACGTATGTTCTCCTCTCCACCGCTCTGCCAACCCCGGCACCCAACGCCACCCCAGCAGCAGCGGCTGCCCTTTTTCGTATCCCGACTGAGCTCCGTCACACACTTCCTCCAACTCACCACACACAAGAGAATGCCACAGAGAGAGAGGGTGAGAGAGAGAGAGAGAGAGAGAGAGAGAGAGAGAGAGAGAGAGAGAGAGAGAGAGAGAGAGACAGACGACAGAGACAGTGTCACACTGTCAGCAAAGGTGTGTGTGTGTGTGTGTTGGAGAGAGGGCGTGTGTGGAGGCAAGTCGACCACGTTGTGTCAAAGCTTAAAGCAGAGGTGCGTTACGACCCAGTGATACAGAAAGGTGGGAGAGGGGAGGGGAGACTCAAGGAGACTCGGGGAGACTGGTACCAGTTTGAATAACGCATGTGCTGTTCTTCTCCTTGGACCAGAGGATGCAGACAAATGTGACAGACTTGACAGCAATGATCCGCTACCAGCTGTATCTCGCTTGGTTTTAATTCAAAGTCCGAGATGCCATTTTCAAATTGAGTTGATCATCCGGACATTGCGACTGATCAAGCGATGTTTTCAGCTACAAACCAGGTTTGGCGAAATCAGTGAGAAATATGTCATAATGTCAGACACTACTTTCGAAAACCCGCCAGCGCCAAAATTCGCTCATCCTCGTGCTCGGCCTCGACCTCTTCGACCTCTTTGACCCCTTCGCCTCCAAGTTACAGCCTCCTTCTCATCAGCCTCGCCCGGCAACAACTCCTCCCTCGTTTCCCAGTGTGCTTTTCACATTCTTTGACAGGCTACAAAGATGCCTTCGATGCTCTATACTCGAACAGGAGACAAGGGCAGCTCCCAGCTGTACTCGGGCGAGCGACGGCCCAAACATGATGCCGTCTTTATGGCCCTCGGTGATTTGGACGAACTCAATGCGCTGATTGGTGCCGCTCGTGAAGCCTACGCCGCTGTCGCTCAATGCCGTCCTGACACACCGCCCGCCGGTCTTGAGCCGTATCTCATTCACATTCAAGATACCCTCTTCAAACTTGGCAGTCACGTGGCCACACCCGCCGCCAGCGCCAGTGAAGAACTCGTATGTTTTGCGCACGTGCAGCTCTTGGGGCCACATTTATCCGCCTGCCTTACGATGACTGCGTGATACCTTCCGCAAAAATCTTGGCAGGTGTCGCGTGTCGCCTTTGATGCGGACCATAGCCTAGTCCTCAGACTGGAAGCCATGATCGATCTTCTCGATGGCGCCTTGCCCCCGCTCACCCGATTCATTCTACCATCTGGTGGTCCAGCAGCGTGAGTTCCTTCTGCCAAACTCATCGCGCCAGCCCCACAGCTGGCTCACAACTCACGCGGTGCGTACGCTGTTTTGCCATGACCTACAGCTGCCTTCTTCATCAGGCTCGGTGTACCTGCCGACGCGCTGAGCGCCATATGGCTCGCCTTTACGACGAAGACGCCGTCAGTTCTGAAGCCATGGCCTACATCAACCGGCTCAGTGACCTTCTATTCGCAGCGGCACGCTACGCCGCTCACACGTACGAACTACTCTTCCCATCCCAGCTCTCGTCGACACGCGCTCGTCTACCTCACTCATACGCTGCGTTCTTCTCGTTTCGCTTAGCACTGGCGCCACTGAACTCTGCTTTGAGCCGCAACGCGAGCCACCCGCGTTGGCCCTCGATACCCCTCAGGCACATCAAGAGCCTGCTTGGTCTATCAGTCATTTAATGGCCAGTGCTTGCGTCGTCACTGCTGTTGCCTTACTCGTGGGCCGCCGGGTCATGTCCTAGCTACCATACGCCAGCGACCGCGCCTTTTCAAAGTCTCTGACGTCGGTTGAGTAATAGAACGAGATACCCCGGTGCCAGTCCTCAAGCTGGGATACAATTCACTTTGCAACCCGCAAAAGGACATTCGTTTCACATTTGACAGTGTTCATGTCAGTCAAAGGCCATGGCGCGGGCTCGGACATTGGGCTCGCCGTCGTTTTGCAGGGCTGTAACCGTGCTGGTAAAGCTCGGCCACAGCGCTACTGCATTGCTTTGCACCGCCTTGAGAACCTCCACCGCCGCAATACGCGAACGTGACTGATGCGTATCTGCAACCAAACTACAGACACAACCGCATGCACAAGTCAGGTTCATCCCTTTTCACACCAGTGGTGTTGCCGATTTGACCGACACGCACCTGGCCACAAACTTCTGCAAATCCTCCAAATAGGGTGTTTGGTCCATTCCAGTCACCTCCAAGTGCCGGACCACGAGCTTGCTCAACGCAAGACGCATCTATACAACATTCACACAAGGATACCCACATGTTAACATTTTGCTTACACATGTCTTGCCATTCGACCCGAGACACGCCCACCTTGAGTGTGCTAAGCTGCCCTTGCTGCAGAACTTCGTGCAGAAGCGTTTGCGCTGCCTGTGTAGGGCAAAGGAGCACAGCGCGTGGCGCACCGTGTCATCAGCAATGGGATACAAAACAAGCAATAACAACGACAAATCAAAAGTTTCCATAAAAAGTCCCCAAAAGTCCAACCTCGTCCAATCGAGACGGCCAAGCAGCTGTGCAAATTCGCAAAGCCAAGAGACGGCGCTCTTCACGCTGTGAAGCACGCTCCACTTGTCGCGCACGCTGGGCATCGCGTGCAGCTTGCGTCCCTACTTCATCATCGTCTTCATCCGAGCTCTCTCGATCACCAGCGCCACTTGGCGTCCTACTCAAACAGCCAACGAGCAAAACAAAGGTTTCATGAGCTGGCACATCTTCAAAGACCCTCCACCCCCATGAAAAAGTTGCAGGTGCTGCGTTGGGCACCGCAAAAGAAGTTGACACAAGCCATTGGCGGCCTTACCCTCGGGCCAGCAGCCGCAGCTCTTCTGGCACGATGCCCCAAAAGTCAAAGCGCAGCTTGTCACACATCGCAGCAGTGCGTTGCAGGGCCTCCTGCCGATACTCGCGCCGCTTGCGGGTGCATTCCTTCAACACGGCTGACATAATCTACACGTCGTTTTTGAAAAAACAAAAAACAAAAAGAAAAGTCCATGACACGATGACAGGGCGTCACACCATTCAAAACCCCGACGCAGCGCCTCCTTTGCATACTCGCTTTATCATTTACCTGGAGCTTGGCATCATGGTTCAACTCTTTTTGACAGCCTTGGGCAATGGAGCCAACTGCGCTGATCAGCTCAGCCTTGCCATCCTGGGGAAAACAGCCGACGGTTGTGAGTCTACGAGCTTCAAAAGTTGTGAGGTTAGCTTGATGGAGGGCGAGTGTAGCCTACCCAGATGCGACCAGCAAGATCAACCAGGAGCTGCTCCATGAGTGCATCTCGCACGCGCAGCAGCTCATTGGCCTCTAGCTTCTGGCACAGCGCGCTGAGACAGGCAGCCGCCTGCCGCTTCACAGACCAGTCACGCTCCTCCAGCTTGGGTTTGAGCGTATCTAGCACTTCGCGGTGGTAGAGGCGCAACGTCGCCTGCTCCGATCCGGGATGGTTCTCCCATGCATCCTTAAAGAGCTGCGAAACCGTTTTGTTCTCATCAAACGTGCCATAAAAGGTCACGGGTAGCCTATTGCCAACACCAGAGGGGACACTCATAAAGACCAACAAGCACCAAACAACTCCCCGTCGCTCGCTTTCATTCTGCCTTGTAAAACACATCTGGATCAGGCGCAACATACAAGAGCGTGGCTTGATCAGCTGCCACATCGTTGGAGAATTGTCCCAGCGCACGATAAATGGCCGCGCTGCACAACAAGCCCACAGTGTCCAATCAGCGTGAGCAACGGGACTGCGAGCAAGCAGGCGGTCAGTCCATCCTCACGGGCGTTCTGCCTCACCAAGCCAAAATTTGATCAGCATTCTCGTGAAGCAAATAATTTTTTCTAGCACGCTTGATGCCGGCGGCGCAATCCTCCTACGAGCAGGCCGACGATGAGTCAAACGGATTTGGCCGGTTGTAAGCAAAAATGTGGTGACAAGAACATGAGAAAAAAAAAAACAAAAAAACAAAAAACAAAAACAAAAACAAACAAACAAACAGAGACAGCCAACGTACAGCCGATGCTACCCGAGCAACGGTGGCAAAAGCACGTGCAAATTCTCGCTGCAAAGGTGCCGATTTGCATGCAGCACCCGCAACCAGAGCCTTCAGCAGCTTGTTGCAATATGGGCGCAAATCCTCGCGACACTGTCGTACAAGGTCCATTACGACGCGAGCACAACCAGCACGCGTGCTGGTGCCGAGGCCCTTCTTGATCAAGTCCACCAGCTTGGGCATCAAAGTTGGCAGGACGTCGGCATCCACCAGCCGAATACAATCATCGAGGCAGGCGGCCAACGGCGAGGTTCGGTGCATGGAGGTGCGAACCTCGTCGACAATGTTTGAGACGTGGTCATCGTTCAAGGCATTGGACAAGTAGTCCAATTGCCCCGACTCAGTCCCGGAGAGAGCTTCGAGTAGCGTCGCAATCAACATGGCTGCATGTGGCTTGAGGGCAGCCCCAGCTTCCTTTGACACGTCAACCAGTGTCTCCAGGCTGATGGCTTTGACAGTCTTGACTCGGGAGATGAGCCCGACATCGAGCAACACTGTCAACAACACTTGCATGGCGGCTGGCGCCGAGGCAGGTGCGCTCTTGCAAATGGTGATTGTGTTTTTTTGTAGGCGCTTCAAGGCATTGAGCGCAGCCTCACGCACACTCTCCTTGATATCGTCGACAACCCGGAAGAGAGTGAGCCACAGATGCTCAAAGTGATCTTCCAGCTCTGACCAGCCGCGGCCCCGCAGAAGGTCAGCCATGGCCGCGGCGGCTGACTCGCGAAGGCGCCACTGTGAGGAAGTGAGATTCTCGACTAGGTCCTCGAGGATGGCGGCAAAGTGCTGGTCGACGGCCTTGGTCGGGTTCCTCACCAGGGCCTTCCAAATGGCCTCCATGGCATTTTGCACGTGGCTTGCCGGATCAAAGCGGTATCTAGAAGCCATACAACAACTGTCAGGCGGCGACGAGTCGACGAGGTCTGCACAACTGGTCCCCGGTACGCACCGGTAGAGCTTGGGGATCAGCTTGGGCAGGTATGCTTCAAGCTCTTCACTTGCCAGGGTTGCCAGGTGCGCAAACCCACTGGCAGCACCCTTTTTGGCATTCCAAGTGGCCTGGTGATTGGCCAGGCTCATGAAGCTGCAACATCCAAATAGCGAGCCAACCAAGTCAAGACACGATGGGCGCACTGGGCAATGCCGTATCGGATTGCTCCACCCACCGATAAATCAAATCAGGCTTGTTAAGCTCGGAGGCCAGGGAGCAAAGCTCTTTGTACGTTTTGAGATTAGTCCCTTCCACAGTCTTGCCCACCTCACCGTGAGCAAAAACTGCGTCCTCGCTGCCTGCGTCATAGCGATGATGCTACAGGGGGGCCGGTCCCAGTTGTGGCATGGTTTGATGAGCTGCAGGCAGGCGGTGCAGGCAGAGGGATGGCGACATGGGCACCCATGGAAGGCACGCCGGCGTACCTTGGCGCGTCCACCTTTGGAAAGGTTTTCGACGAGCATGTCTACGAGCTGACGTTTGGTGGCGGTGGTGCCCATTTCATAGCACAGGGAAATGCCATCCGAGGCCAAGGCTTGCGTGATATCGTTGCCTTCGGCCAATACATCCACAAACGCTGTTTGAATTTCGCCCAACTTGGGCTGCAGCTCAGGAAGGTGGCCGTTGCTTTTGAGGAGGCGAAGCAGCCAGACGGCGGCAGCGGACCGATGAGGCGCCTTGGAGCTGTTGCACCAATTGTTTAAAATCGTATCCAACAGGGCCGCCGTGGCGGCGCCAGCTGCGGAGGCTGTCCAGGCACTAGTGTCGGGGGCCGGAGCTAGCGCAGCGGGGAAGTAGGGGTCACAGGCCGCCTTGGCATGGCATCCCGCCGTCAGGAGCGCCAACACGTCCCCAGCCGCCATGTTGATTTCCAACGACTTGCGCTCACTCGTCTTCATGATGGCTTGGATCACCTCGTCATCGGGTCGCTCTGGCAAGGCAAGGAAAAACATGGCCCCAACACATCGCAGCAGTTGCTCCATGAGCAGCGCGGGCACGGCGCTGTCAGACGTTTCAGCAGCCAGCTGCAGCAAACGTTTATGCAGCGGACTGTCCCGTGGCACTGCATCGGGCCGATAGCGATGCAAAAGCATCGCGCTCTGGTGGAGACAGGCCACCAATGAGCACGGCAAGGAGGAGATAGCAGGGACATGCGCAAGCCAAGCCCAATAAAAGCACCACACATACCTCTGCAGCGGCACCACGCAGCACGGGCGAAGGGTGCTCCAGGGCGCTCAGGATGGCTTTGGGCATGTCCAGATTGTCCGGCATTGGTGTCTTGCTCCAGGCAAGAACGGCAGCAGCAGCACGCAGATGGCCATCAATGGCGGGAATGCTACGTTGCTGTTCTGCAAGGCCATGGTTGGCACAGGTTTGAAGCCAGCCTCGAATTTGCTCCGGGGAAGCTTGAAGGGAAAGATAGCTCATCATCAAGCTGAAGCGGTGTCGCAGTGCCGCCTGGGCATGGTCTAGCTGTTCGAGACACCAGCGGTCACAATCGACAGCAAAGCGTTGACTGAGGGAGGGTTGAACAGAAAAAAGGTCCAAGAAGCTTTCGATAGCTTCCAGTCGCAAGGCATCGCTGCCATTGGGCGCCTAACGAAAGCGATGGGCAAGCGCAAGCATTGTATGAGACGGAGGAAAACGAGCGTGAGGAGATCCAATACGGTTCGGGTCAAGCACGGCGGGCCGCACCATGGCCACGGTGAGGATATCAGCATATTGGGCGAGAGTGTCGGGATGTGCTTGGGCATAGCCGTGCAACTGGTCCAGACGGTGCTGTTCCCAATCTGGGTTCTCGGTTCGAAAGCCGCCGCCCACGGCGATACCTCCGCTGACTGTCGCACTCGCACCACCCGTGGCATCCCGCACCACCTCGCATTCGCGCTCCCAGCAGCGGCTCAGATACTGCAAGATGGCACGCATAGCTGATACGCTGTAAGGCAAGGCCAAGCTGGACCAGGCTGGCTGCATGTCAGCGCGACGCTTGCGCACGGGAAGGCCATCAGTGATTCGTGTGTGAAGAAATGCGAGGAGCTCGGCAAAAGCTGGGGCTTTACGCATTTGTTCCTTCGTATCGGCACCCAGCTCCGTGGTGTCTTCCGTGTCCTGGGATAGACGAAGACCGCGACGGGCCTCTTGGCGCACATCTTCGCGGTCATCGCCCATGGCCAAAAGTAGAGGCAGACGACTGTCTACATGATCTGGGGGAAAGCACGTGTCCAGATATTGCACGGCCAGCACCTTGGTGGCCGAATCAGCGTGTAGGGTCAGATCGGTTAGCGTATGCAGGAGTTTGGTAGCTGCAGCGGGTGAGAGGTCAGCATAGACTTGGCGCAAGAGCTTGAGCGCTTCCAGCACATATTGCCCCACAGCTGTGCCGGCGGTGGCCTGAAGGCGGGTGAAGAGGAATCGGAGGAGGTCAATGTTGTCCTTGACGGCCGCAGGATGCGCTCGGCCTAGAGCCCCGAGGGTTTGATAGACTTCGCCCGCAAGGTCAATGGCTGCTTGTTGGTCGTCAAGCATGGCGCGGACCTTGGCCAGAAAGAGGGGCAAGATGCCAGCGCGGAGATGAACTGGACAGGCAGCGGCCACGGCTCGCATTAGCCGCAGGCCCAAACTGCGAATCCTGGTTTCGCGATGGCCCACGGCTGTGAAGACGGTCTGCAGGATTTGCGGAAAGCACTCGGCAGCTTTTGGAGCAGCCACAAGCTGCTTGAGGATGAGGGTTTGCAATTTGGGGCTAGCGGGCATTTGGCGGGTTTCAGGGGGCACAACTTGGCCCGGCTGCAAAACCGTGCCGCCAAAGAGGAAAAGCACGCGCTGGATAAGCGTGCTGTCATCAAGGGTCATGTTTTTGCGGCGCATGGCTGTGAGGGCACGATCGGAGACGTCTTCATGTGCGCTACCAGCACCACACAACAGGGCATAAAAAGCGGCCTGGGGGGCAAAGAGGCGGTCCTCATTAAGAAGCTTGATGAGGCCCAGCTTCAGTTGCAATACGTCCTCGCGCGTCGGACAATTGTGGAGTTGTCCCTTGGCATCGACCAGGCCGGTCACGTCTGCCTGACTGAGACCGGGGGCCGGTGTGAATGTTGCGGCAGTGGTGCCATCCCCAAACTGTTGCGGTGATTCGCGCAGGAGCATGATGGTCGAGATGGCTGTCAGCACGAGATCGTGCACGGCGGACACTTCGCAACCAAGAGCTGCCAAGCGGGTCTCGGGTTCCCCGGAGGGGAGTGTGAGTTTCGGTAGATAGGGAATGGCCAGTTTGAGCACCAATGCACCATCTTCTTTGTGTGGCCTAAGCCGGGTCGCGAGTGAGTGCCAAGCAGTGTTCACGCGGGAAAGGATGCTGACAGAGGTAGCTGAACCTGGGAGGAGACTTACGCAGAGGGGCAGGCACGCAGCATGTCGGGCACGCGGGCGATTCGATCTGGTAGAGGTAGCCGTTCAAAGGCTTTGCGAAAGTAGACGCGGGTCAAGGGCCGGCTGGCAGCAGGCGTCTCTGAAGAGAGCAGCTGGGTCTGCAACGCCTCGATGGGCAATTGCATCTGGGGGTAGCTATTGAGCATCTGGAGGAAAAGCAGTTGGTGAGCTATTTAGAGAATGACGAGTAGCAGGGCGGGTTTGGGAAGCAGTCAAATCGAGAAGGAAAAACAAAAGGACGAGTCATGGTGCAACACACGGGGGTAGCTGGTCAGTCGGCAACGCGAGGCGGGATGTTCACACCTGGTTGACATGGCTGAGGACAGCCATGAGTTTTTTGCGGACAGGCTCACTATCCGAAGCTGCCTTGAGCAAGAGCGGGGCCAAGAGGCCATGAAGCTGGTTCTGGAAAGACTTGTCATCGATGGCCGAAGCCAAGCGCAACAACACGCGCTCCAGCAGCGCTATTCACCGGCGAACGTTGGAGCCATCAAACATTGACATTGGTCGCCACGTCAGTCACCATTCGGAAACGGCAGCCACTTCAAGCACCCACAACCCCTGCACTACCCCAAGTCAGCTCATGGACACATTATCCCCTCCTCCTCCTCCTCTTCCTAGCAATCTCCTGATCATTGCATTTGCAAACAGCCGCCCCTGAAGGGACCGGCGCTGCCAGTGCGTCACTGATCCAGCCACCGCGACACATACCGCTCTCATCCGCCATTTTCTTGTGTTGTTTAAATTTCTAAAAAAAAAAATTTGGTGAGAGGTGTAGATCTTTTACACCAACCACAGCTTTGAAAAAATGGAAATTCAAAGTTTTAAAAAAGTTTCATAATTTTTGTTTGTGATGTTTGATATGTTGCAACGCCATTGGCCACCAGGGTCATGGGGCTCATTAAGCGCCTGCGTCCAAGTGTCTGGCTGAACGGCGTGTGATCAGCTTGGGTCTGTCTTGCCCTGGGTTGTGAGCAAAAGAGAGGTTGTCAAATTTCAGCTGGATTTGAATCTCTGGGATGAGGCGGGGAAGCCAAAAGACAACAGAAAGAAAGCACGACGCAAATGGGCGTTGGAAGGTTTAGCTATATCGAGGCGAGACCCTAACGGTTAGACGCTCAGAGCACAGAGACGAGACAAAAGAGAGAGAAAGACGCCTCGCCGAGCAAGGCAGTATTTGTAGCATGGAAGGGCGTGCAGCGCGCAGCGCTGGCATGGTGAATGCACAAAGGAAATGCCTAGCAGAGGCTTTTTTAAGCTTCTGAAGCGGGAGCGCTCGCCTCGTTGGCCTCCTCTTCAGGGCCAGAGGTGTCATCGTTGGCCGACTTTGACTTTTGCTTGGACTTGCGGCGTCGAACATCAGTGACCTGCACGACGGCCACGGCTTCTTCCGTCGGTTGTGCCTTGAGCGCTTCTTCCTTCTTCTTGGCCTGTTCTTGTTTTGCAGCGTGCTGATCCAGACGATCTTGTTGCACCGTGTATGCCTTTGTGGCCCGTTTCTACGCAAGCGGCCCAAGACCTGATCAGACGGGCTTGCGGCTGCCCAGCCACCAATGGCTTCTGTACAGAGCAAGCCTGAGCATGCTTTCTCTACCTTGAGCTTCTTGACGCGATCGTGTAGCTGGAGCATTTCTCGCTTCAGCGTGGTCAGCTTGGTGGTATAAGAGGGTACTTTGCTCAGCTGCGCCCGGAAAATAAGCAAAAGAAAAAAGAATCAAAAGGAAGCAGCCAGTATAGAGAGCAGCACACCATGTCGTGAGACCGTGAGACCAGGCGTGACTCGTCGACATGGATGAGGTCGTGGATGTGAAACAGAGGGAGCCGTCTTGAGCATCGTTCAATCATACGTACCGTTTCAGCTACTTCTTGAATGGAGCGGTTCCCTTGAAGAGATTCGTGCTGGGCAAGTAAGACTTCAATCAGGCCACACTGCGCCGTCCTGTGCGTGCACAAGCCCCCACCCGCTGATCATGAGTTCAAGCCCACTGAACTGAGTGCAACCAAGGGCGGGAAGCAGGTCGAAACATACGAGACATCCCGCAGCGTTTTTTCCAGCACTTCAGTCGTCGGCGTAAAGGCTGCTAGCAGGTTTGCGGCGCCAGCCAGTGGGTCCAACCCTCCGCTGCCGTTCGTCACCGCTGGCTTCGTGTCCGTTTCGGCCGCCATGTCTATCAGCCCCACCGCATCAATGCACATGAGCACCAGTCAGCAAGCTACTGCTTCTTGTTCTCTTTCTATCTCTTGCCCATTCCAAGCCAGGTGTTTGCCTCGGCTCGAAGCGCGCATGGCCTTGATCTCCCATCGACCTCCAAGTGATCTTCCACTGATCGCACGCACCTCCAAATCGCTTGGAAAAAAAAAAGAAAGAAAAAGAGAAAAAAAAATGAGAGAGAGAGAGAAGAGAGAGAGAGAGAGAGAGAGAGAGAGAGAGAGAGAGAGAGAGAGAGAGAGAGAGAGAGAGAGAGAGAGAGAGAGAGAGAGAGAGAGAGAGAGAGAGTTTAAGCAGTACATGTAATGGCATAAGCAATAAAGATTTAAGAGCAAAACTACCACATGTAACAACAAAGAGAGAGAGAGAGATGGAAAAAAGACAATGCATACAAACTTTGCGACTGGAGGGTGAGAATGAGAGAGAGAGAGGCTAGGGAGTCGGAGGGATGGCGGCAAGAGAGGCTTTGAAGAGAACAGAAGGGTTTTAAAGATTCGGGAGAGCTGCAAGCGAGAGAGGGAGAGAGGATTGTCTGTTTGAACGTGGCGGCGCTTTTTTTTGCAAGTGGAAAAAATGAAGGGAGAATAGACACGGGCGGGGTGTGATTCTTTGCTGTTGACCAGTCAATCGTAGTTGTCAATTTGTCCTGGAAGCAAAGCTCGCCAACACAAAAGGTTCGTTCTTAAACAGCGATGCTGGCGGCTGGGGTTGCCGAGGGACACTACACACGGGCTGGGTGGCTTTAAAGCATCGGCGTGTGAATCGGATTTACACACACACACACACACACACACACACACACATGTCCACCTCGTCATTCATAGGCACAGAGACACAGAGCCGACGCTCAGGCAAGGGACTCAACGAGAGTTAGAAAGCCACGACCGTATGGCGATAACGGGCCGTCGACATACCGGCAGCAGAAGCCCAGGAGGTGCCGTCGTAGACGGCGACGGAATTGAGAACAAGACCATTGTTCCCACCGGCAGCATAGATCTTGCCACCTAGGCTAGCCATGGCAAAGTGGTAGCGTGTACCCAACATGTTGTCCTCCTGGGCCCAGCGAACACCATCACAAGACTCGACTTTGTTGAGCACGGCTCCGTGAATGCCGCCAGCGGCATAGAGCTTGGCGCCCAGAGCTGCGACTCCTAGGCCATATCGCGCCGTGGGCATTTGAGTGCCCGTGTGCCATGATACGCCATCAAAGTACTCGGCATTGGTCAGGTAATAGGAATTATAGCCTCCTACGAGATAAAGACGGTCTTGGAACACGGCTGCCGCTGCGTAACGCCGTGCCAACGGAAGACGGGGGCCCGAGCTCCAGCTGATGCCGTCAAAGACCTCGACGTCATCAAGATAGTCGAAGCGAAACCCGCCAAGCAGATAAAGTCGATCACGAAACGTAACTGCCGCACAATCTTGGCGAGCAGAGGGGATGCTAACCCCGGAAACCCAGGCATTCCCGTCCAAGACCTCGACTGAGCTCAGCATGCCACCAACACCGTAGCCGCCGAGTACATACAGCTTGCCACGAAACGCGGCAGCAGCATGGCCTGAACGAGCCGTCTGCAGGGCGGGCCCATAACTCCAAGAAACACCATCGAAAATTTCCACGGAAGCAATGTTCGTCGCGAATGAGGTCAAACCACCAATAGCAGCAATGCGGGTCGCTGTCGATGGGTCTACGGTGGTTGTTGTTGGAGTAGTCGTGGTCGTGGTTGTTGTTGTTGTTGTTGTTGTTGTTGTTGTTGTTGTTGTTGTTGTGGTGGTGGTAGTTGTCGTTGTCGGTGTCGTTGTCGTTGTGGTGGTCGTTGTTTGTTGTCGTGTTGTCGTGGACGGCTCCTGGGCTTGAAGCAGGGTCACAAGCCGACTCAACTCATCCAACTCGCCAAGCACGTCAATACCATCAATGAAAACCCGAGTCGTGTGCCCAGTGCCAGTCGAGCTGTTAATAAACAGGTTGCCATGTCCATCCGAGACCACCAAAGGGCGTGGCGATCGAGCTTCAACAGCGGTCGTGCCGAGCAGCAACACCACCAGAAGGGCGTGCCCTACCACGCTTCGCCACCCATACATCGGTGTTGTCAAATCGACAGAAGCTCATCCGCTCTCCACTTGGCCAATCTGTAAAATGTCGACCCGATTCCAGCCCCCATCCGACACGCCCGCGCGCCGGTGTGTGTGTTTGCGTGTGTGTCCGGTTCAGTGGTCTCAGCTGTTTAGATCCGGTCGCACGCTCGTCGCACGCCCCCTCTCTCTCTCATGTCCTGTGCTCCAACATAAGTAACACACACACACACTCAAAGAGTGATGCTAAATGACCTGAAATACGATCTGACAATACGATCTGACAATACGATCTGACAATACGATCTGACAATACGATCTGACAATACGATCTGACAATACGATCTGACAATACGATCTGACAATACGATCTGACAATACGATCTGACAATACGATCTGACAATACGATCTGACAATACCATTAAATTTTCTGACAACAACGACTCACACACAACTTTTTTAAGATAAGCAACACGGGATGTGGACGTGATGGATGAATCATTTCTTGACGACCAGGGATTTTTTCCTTTGGATCCAACAGCAGCCCAAGACGCCATGGTACGCCTCGCTCTCGGGCCGTTCGTCCTGAATGACCTCCGCCTTCCTCCGTCGTCCGTCCTCGGTCCTCGACCCTTGTCCTCTGCCCTCTGCCCTCTGCCGTCTGCCCTCTGTCCATCGGGCCTTGTTCCTTCTCTGTTTTGGTCTTGTTGCCGCTGCTTGCCGTCTGGGCCTTGGTCTTGTCCTGTGACCCCTGCTTTCGCGCTCTTGCTTCCTCCGGGGCTGCCTCAAATCATTTCTTCTCCTCGTTGGACTGCGCAGGCGACCCGCTATACGCAGCGATATGTGGACCAGCAGCGGATGGAGGCGCGGCGCGCTGAAGTCCAACGCCAGGACCAGCTTCAATCCTTGCGCATTGATACCGTTCTCAATGCCAACGCTGCCAGTGATGAACGCGTAGAGGCCAAGCGCCGCGCACGCCTCATGGCTGAGCTGCAACGCGAGCGCGAGCTTGAAGATCGCATCATCAGCGTACGACCAACTGCGCGCCCCGTCTTAAAGAAACCAACGTTCCTGACCACTGCTCCTCCTGGCAGCCTTGGAAGCGCTCTGACACCCCTCCCTCGCATATCTACAGGATCAGCAGCGCCGTGAAGATCACGCTCGCATGCAGGAGCAAGAGGAACGGTTGGCCGCCGAGCTTTTGCGCATCGAAACAGAACGCGAGCGGGATGCGCGCTATCGCCAGCAGCTGCGCGCCACTGATCCCGAGCTTCGCGGTTGGTTTTTGTCAACCCATCTTGTCCTTTGACTTGCGGACAAGCCACAACTGGCCGAGAGCTCATTTCCATGTGGTGACCTCGCACCGTTTTCCAGAGCTGGAGCGCAAGCTCAATGCAGCCTACGTCACCAAGGAGCGCCATCAACAGATTGTGCATCAACAGGGCATGACCGCAACTGCCCGACTTGAGGATCTGGAAATGGCCCGCATTGAACGCGAACTCCGGGAACAGGCCGAGGCCGAAGGTGGGTTGCCATGTCTTCTCCGACCAACCAGCTTCTCGCGCTTGTGCCCTTGAGTTGTGCCCTCGGGTTGTGCCCTCGGGTTGTGCCCTGATTTATTTTCTTGTTTCTTCATTCCTGGATTGATAGAGCGTGAACAGGAACGAGCGCGATGGGAGGAACAGAAAAAATATCAGTCAGAGTTGGAGGAGCAACTTGAGGATCAAGAGGCACGAAAGCTCAAGGCTTATGAGGAGTTTCTCAAGGAGAAACTTGTCATTGATGAAATTGTCCAGCGTATCTACGAGGAGGATCGCCAAGTGGCACAAGCTCAAATGGAGAAGCAGGTGCGGTATCAACCTCGTGTCGCTGCACTGCCAGCTTCGGTCTCTTGTCGTCTCCCCATTCCAGCCGCTGCCGCAATCATACGCTCCCTTCACCCAAGCTTTGGTCGATTGCTGACATTTTAGCGTGCCGCCAAGAGCGAGATGGACGACTTTATGCGTCAACGACAAGCATGGCAGCGTTATGAGGAGGAACAAATGCGTGAAGAGAATGAGCGCATTCTCAAGTAAGTTCCGTGGCTCATTCTTTGTTTTGCCATCTATGCCGTTCTCTCCGCTTTGTAGTGGACAACAACCGTTGCGTTTGGTCAGAGATGGCAATGAAGTGCGAGGCCGATTGATGCGCGCGGTGTGCTCTTGGTTCCATTAGGCACGCCCATGAGAAGCAAGAACAAGAGCGTGAGCGTATGCGCGGGTTGTTGGAGCGTGAGGAGCAAAAGGAGCACTTGCGCGAGCAATTGGCCGACAAGCTTCGTCGCGAGCGCGAAGAGCAAGAGGAAATGGATCGTATCCGCCTCGAACTGGCCGAGGAGGAGATGCGTGATCGGGAACGTCAGCGTGAGCGCATGGAAACTGAGGTAGGTGCATCGCAAAACTCTTGTTGGGCATGTTGCCTGATTGGTGTTCCAACCCATCTTTGCTTGAATCTTGCTGTTGTTGTCTTCTCTTGACTTGCGCGTGTTTGATTGTTTCTTCTTCTAGCAACGCATCCGTCAGCGCCTGGCATTGCAGCAAGCGGCTGAAGAAGACCTGGCTGCCAAGGCAGCGCGGTTGGAGCGCGAACGCGCAGAGGAAGAAGCCTTCCGGGTTGCCATGCTGGAAAAGTTTGCGTTGGATGATCGCCTGGAGCAGATGAACGCCCAGCGACGCCGCATGAAACGCCAGGAGCACACGCGTGCAGTCGAGGCGTTGATCGAAGAGCGCCGTGCTCGCAAGGAGTTTGAACGTCAACAGGAGCAGCGCCAGGATATGACGATGCGACAGGCTGAGGAGGCTCGCCGTCGTGTCATTGAGGAGGAGCGCCAGCGCTTGCTGGCTGAGCATGCCACCAAGCTCTTGGGCTTTTTGCCAAAGGTAAGCACCAAATGTGCGGCTGCTGTTCTGGTTGAAGAATCGCATCGGATTGCGCCTGCTCACTGCTCGATTGGCATCGGGGCGATAGTCTGTATTCCGAGGCACCGAAGAGGCTGCGCAACTGGGTCCAGAGTTTGCAGAGACGTACTCGCGGCGGCCACAGCATGACATGTATGATGCGTATTAGTGAGCGTGACTGAACCAGGCAGCTGAATGGACTCATTCTTTTCAAGTGTCTTTTGTCGTTTATTTGTCCTTTGTCGAGGCCCTGCTTCCACTGTTTCCTTTTTTTTTTTTGCTATAACTGTCTTCGCTTGAAGCGATTTACCCCGAACATGGACGCCCACGCCCGCTTACATGTGTAAGCGAGGCGGAGGGTGAAGCCCGCCGGACGAGGCCGTCTGTGCCGGGGGTCGATGGTGTGTTGTTTCTTTTATCTCTTCACTGCTTGCTGGCAGCCTCGGCTGCAATTGAGGGAGGGACGCTATTTTGAGGGCGTTGTTTCGCAATGGCGTAGCTTGGATATGCATACATGGGGCTAGCGTGGTTAAAGCAAATTTGATTCAAGCCTCACAACGCCGCAGGCGCACACATTTCAACACCGATGCCTGTCCCGACACGGAACAGCCTTGGCCCCCGTCAAGGTCATACCCCAAAGACACGACGGCGTGCAAGCAAACGGCACAGGTGCAGAATGGGAGCTTTTTTCAGTTTTGGAGAGCTTTGAGGTATTCCACGCGAAACGAATTGTCGTCGGCGGGCCTGCAGGATGCCAGTTTGACGAGATTGAAAAACAGAGAATAAGTGCGTGCGCGTGGGCCGAGTGTGTGTGTGTGTGTGTGTGTGTGTGTGTGTGTGTGTGTGTGTGTGTGTGTGTGTGTGTGTGTGTGTGTGTGAGTGAGTGGAAGCGTACCGGTTGATGGGAGTCCACTTGGGCTCGGCCTGGAAGAGTCGCTTGGCTTGAATGTAGTTGTCCGTGTCCAGCGTGAAGCGATGGTAGATGCCAGAGGGCTGATACAGGAGTATAGAGCAAGGCGGGTGCGCGCGTCAGGGTTGGCGTGTTTCAGGGGGCGAGAAAACATGCTGATGCAAACTGCAACCGCCTACCAAAATGAGGAGATCACCGGGCTGAACCTGGATGCGGATCCAACGGTCATCCTTGGAGCGGACGTCAAAATAACCCGTGCCAGCGGTCACATAGCGGATCTCTTCGTCCTCGTGAAGATGTTCGGTGAAAAAGGTTTTGAGCTTATCCTCGTAATTGGGCAGCTTTTCGCGGGAGCAGGTGATCTACATGGGCCCAGATGTTTAGATGGAACACCCAGTCAGAGGTGGGCAGGCTGAGCGAAACAAGCAGGCCTAAAAACCTACCATGTCTTGGGCGGCATAGTTGCGCTCGTCGCAGACCGCCTTGAGCTTTTCCTGACACAGGGGAGAAAAAGAAAGGGCTTGTTGTGAGGTGAAAAATGGGTCAAAGGGTGCGGGCCAGGCGCTCTGCATACCTCGTGATCTTCCACGGGAATGTGCCAGTACAACACGCCGAGCGCCTTGAGCTGCTCCGCGCTGACCTGTACGCAAAGAAAGGACCTGCTGATGAGAGGGACAAACGGGAGCAAAGCAAGGGAAAAAAAAAAAAAATGGATCCGCATCATGACCCGAGCCAACCTCTTGCAGGGGATCAGTCATGTACGGCTCGCGGGGGTCGCCACCCTCGGGCACGTCAGCCATGTACCACGACTTCATCTTGCAAATACACCTAATCCAGTCGTTCATGATGGTAATGATGATGAATGAGCCAGTTGCACTGACACGAACGTCTTGATACGCTCCCATCCGCACACGCACGCATGCATGCATTCAAGCCTTCACGTCTGAATGCCACTGACACACTCCGCCCGGCTGCCACTTGACACCTCGACGTGTGTGTGTGTGTGTGTGTGTGTGGCGTTTCACCTATGCAGAGAGAGAGAAAAATCTTCTGTCTCTCTCTGTCTCTCTGTCTCTCTCCCTGTCTCTCTCTGTCTCCCCCTTTAAGTTTGTGCTTGTGCTCTCTCTCTCTGTCTCTCTCTCTCTCTCTGTCTCTCTCTCTGTCTCTCTCTCTGTCTCTGTCTCTGTCTCTCTCTCTCTCTCTCTCTCTCTCTCTCTCTCTCTCTCTCCTTCTCTAATTTTGTGTTTTCGTTCTCTATTTTTTTTGAGGAAAATTGGCAGGATGGACGACTACGGTAAGTGTGTGTGTGTGTGTGCGCGCGCGGGTTGTGGCAGCGTGTGGCTTACGTGGTCGACGCGTGTGTGGGGGGCTGCATTTGCGCAGATGGAGAAGGACCAAGCAGCAAGCGGGCCAAACGTACGTTCGGCTTGCCTACTATCGTGCTGCAGCTCCAGTGGGCGCGACGCTTTGCCCGGCCTCACAAGAAACGCTGCGTGTCGTTCGACTTGTAGAGTCGGCCTCCGAGCTGCTGGCCCGGTTGGAAGAGGACAATGCACCCGTTGAAGAGTTTTCCGAAGCATCGATGAAAAAGCTGGCCGTGAGCCTCGAGCGCAAAGTTGGTTTTGGGTCCACGCACGCGCGAGCTTTGGCCATCGCCTGAAGCGCTTTGTGCGTGCTTTTCCCTCACCGGTCGTGTCTCCTGTTGCGTCCCCCCTTAGTTGAAAAAGAACCAGCAAATGCGCATCAAGTATCCGGATGAGCCTCTCAAGTTTGTGTTTCTCGAGGGTCTCCTCCTTCTACTCCCGCTTGCCTGAATTTCTTCAGATGGTAATTTTTTTCTCAACACAATGCGGGTAGATTCATGGATTCAGAGGTGGCACTGCACAGCGAACTCGCCGGCTTTAGTTTGGCCTCCACTGGTAAATCATCGCTGCACAACTCCACTGACAAAAAAAAAAGTCTGGGTGGCTTCCTCACTCTATGATTTCTCCGCACTTGTAGCGCCTGAATATTACCATGTCCTGGTCAAGTACGGCACGGCTGCTACCCTGATGACGTGCCTGAACCACGAGAACACGGACATTGCAGCTGCTGGTGGGTGCCCCAATTCTCCCCTTGACTACATGTTGCCCAGCTTTCAACTGATCCTTGCCGTTCCCGGTGCAGCGGTCACGGTGTTGATGGAGCTAACAGACACCGAAGCCCTGGTGGACGACCCTCGGGATGCCGATGCCCTCATTGATGCCCTGGTCAGACTTTCCCCTGCATGATCCATGACCTGCATGGGTGCGCCTGATGTTGTGCGTGATGTCACTCACCTGCTGGCAATGCTAGCTGGCCAACGACTTTATGGAACAGGCCCTGGCACTGCTCGCGCGCTTTGATGAAGCAGTCAGCGATGAGGCCGAGGCCGTGCACAATGTCATGGGTGCGTGCTCGGCCCGCATGCAACAACGTTTCTGCAATGTCCTTTGTCGCCTCATCGTCGTGCTCATGTATTTCCAGGCATCATTGAAAACATTTTGGACTTGCGTCCCGACCTGAAAAAGACGCTTGGCCAAGACAGCGGCCTTCTCACTTGGCTGCTCCAGCGCATGCAGGTCGGAGTTTGTCTTCTCATGCCCGACATCAAATCCTGTCCCTGTCGTCTCAGCCGTCTCCTTATCACCGCCATCTGCATTGATCATGCTTTCATGCCAACATTCCACTTGCAGACGTCTCGTTTCGACGCCAACACGCTTTATGCCAGCGAGCTCCTGGCCATCCTCCTATTGGACAGCGCCGAGAATCGGCAAGTCACGCTTGGGAATATTGCTCGACAAAGCCAACGTTCACTTTCGTGCTGCTTGCAGCATCCTTTGTTCTCGCATTGTCTCATCTCATGAATGATGGGTCGCGTCTACACCGCAGCATCAAAGTGGGCACAGACAGTGGGCTTGAAGTGCTCTTGCGCATTGTGGCTGGATACAAAAAGGTGGATCCTGCTTCTGACCAAGAGGGTGAATTCCTGGAAAATACTTTTGATGCCATCTGCAGCTGTCTGATGGAGGAGCGTACGTACCCCAAAGCGCTGCTCGCTCCAGCCGCACTAGCCCGAGCTCAAGTCCGCATGAGGTTCACCGGTTTACGGCTGCTGGGTGGCTGCGAATGTTTAGCCAATAAAAACTTGTTCGTCGAGCTCGAGGGCGTCCAACTCATGGTGCTGTTGCTGCGCAAGAAGCAAGCGGCTCGGTTTGGGGCTCTGCGAGTGCTCGACCACATCACTATGAGTGGTGATGCAAGCCTTCAAGCCTGCAACATCTTTATCGAACACCTGGGCCTCAAGGTTTGTTGTCATTTTTGGTTCACAACTCGAAGCACTGTCTGATTTTGGCAAGTTGCTGCCTTTGCCATCTCTGCTCACGGTTGCCAAATCACCCCCAGAGCCTGTTCCCTTGTTTTATGAAGACGCCGCGGAGTAAATCCTTCAAAGCGGTGCAAGGCGACAAGGCCGTGTATGAAGAACACGTCTGCAGTATTGTGGCTGCACTCTTTCGCGAAATCCAGGTAGGCGCTCATTTGCCATTGGTGGGTCCCGGGCTGGCACCTGTTCTAAAAGTTCGGCTTGTCTGTGGACGTGACAGGAGCCGCCAGAGCTGCGGGCACGCCTGTTGGGCAAGTTTGTGGAGGACAACATGGCAAAATGCGTGCGTCTAGCTGAGCTTCATGCCTTTTATGCCCAAAAGGTGAGGCCCTTGCAGGATGGCCTGTTCTGGCACGTTTGTTTTAACTGCGAGCGGCTCACGTTGCGGGCGTCTACATCGGGGGCCTCATCAGCTCGCGGAGCGGGACCAACTGATTGCCGAGGAACGGGCGCAGCTGGAGCAACACGGCGAATGGGATGATGCAATGGAGGCCGAGTTTTACGTGGATCGCCTTGGGGATGGCCTGAGTATGCTGCAGCTCATCGACTATGTGGTAGCCAGCGTCATTGTCGGGTGCCAAGGGCAGGTTTGTCTCTGTCAAGGCCGGCTTGCCTATAGTGCCATTTGAGGTTGCTTGACGCACGTGCGTAAACTACACAGATGTATGGAGAGGTGGCCAAGCTGTTCAACATCAAGGGGGCGCGTATGACGCAGGTCTTTGAAGTCCTCAGTGGTGAGCCAGCTGACCATGTGACGGCGGCAGAAACCCGGCGGTAGCATACGAGGCTGCGTACTCATGTCATGTCCGTGTGTTGGTGCCTGTAGATTATGCAGACAATATTGGCGATGAAGACAAGGGCGAGGCAAGCCAAGCCAAGCAAGTGCGCGCCCTCTTGCTTCAGCTGCGACAACTGGCAGCCGCATAAGACTCTTTCTTCAAATCGACCAAAAGATAGTGCCTCTGAACATTTAGAATACCTCACCACGAGAAAGAAGCAGCAGCCTTTACGATTGCCATGTGACTCGTGTTCTGATCCCCCCCTTAAAGTCCAAGGCACACCCTGGTACCGACCCCACAACCACCAAAACGTTGTGCTTATTTTTTTTTTTTTTTTCACATCTGTGTGAGTTTTTCATTTTTTTTTTAAGAGAGAGCAGCAAGGGCCGGCACATAATTTGGCGGCGTGTCTGGATGTGGGCGACGGGTTGCTAGAACGGACAGGTGTATTTGTGGAGCACGTGGCGTTTTGGGGGCTGGGCTGCTTGGCGGGCGGGAACGTCATTTATTGCTTGTGCTCGCGTGGCTCGTGATTGTTGGATGTGGAGACGACGACTGAGCAGCATGCTGCCTCGGCTGATCGTGTTTGACCTGGACATGTGCGCATGGTCGCCAGAGATGTATACCTTGAGTGAGATTCCCAAAAAGACGATCAAGGGCGACCTCAACGGCCACGGGCACGGTGTCGTGGCTGCTGTTTCCGATGGCGAACACGTCCGTCTCTTTCCTGGAGCCCTGCACGCGCTCCAGCAGGTACGTTGTTGTGTTGTTGTTGCAGTGATTCGACGCCTCCCTCTCGTTTTGGGCTGCACGCTCGCACAAGTTCTCATCGAGCAGATGGTTCGCATTGGCCTCGTCTAGCTGCACTTGAACAAGTTACCCGGCACCAAGTGTGCCGTGGCCTCGTCTGCGGATACACCGCATGCGGTAAAAATTGCCAAAAAATGCTTGCAGTTGCTCGAGGTCGTGCCCGGGGTCAGTGTAGCCGAGGTGCTGCGGACGGCGGGCGGAGGCTTTGATCACGACGGCAACATTCAGATTGGCCGCTCCCCGCCACTCTCCTCCAACAAATCAAAGACCCACTTCCCGCGCCTGCGCGATCTCTGCGAGATTGACTACGAGCACATGTTGTTTTTCGACGACAGCAACTGGGAAGACAACTGCGCCATCGTTGAACGCCATTGCCCAGGCGTGGTAGCCCAACGAACCCCACGTGGTCTTCAAGTCCACGAGTTTGAGCTCGGTCTGCGCAAGTTTGCCGAGCGAAAGAGCGCGTAGACCCCAAGTTGGCGCTCAAAAGCGCTCTTGTTGTTATTAACAGCGTATGCCCGGCTGGTGCTTCTCAAGCACGTTGTGCTCGTACGAGGGCAAAAGGCACCCACACCCTAGCACACCCGAGCATGGCGATGGCCCTTGATCGGCTCGCTCTCCACCCTTTTCGGCTGCCTGTAGCAGCGCCTCACCGGCTCGCTGCTCGGCAATACGCGAAAGAACGCGCCTTCTCCGCCTCCCCCCTCTCTCTCTGGTTCTAGCTCCAAGTTTAGCTTCATCTCTGAATTTAAAGGCAAACGCTCTATCAAACTTTGACATGAAACTTTCACTTCTCTACACTTTGGCCAGCTCGCAGTCTTTCTCTCTCCTCTCTCTCTCTCTCTCTCTCTCTGTCTCTCTCACTGTTTCGTCGTTATTGGATCATGGCGGCGCCCGACGCGGCAAAGCGGCGGTTCACGCCTAAATATCGGTGCGTTGCAGTGTCGAATGCAACCCTGCGTGGTGGTGGATATGTGTTCATGGGCTTGGAGAAGCTGGGCCTAAACTCACAAGGACGTGCGAACCAGATTTTCAACGCAGAATAACATCTTATCAGGTTTGTGCGCGTGGGGCGGGGGCTGCAGTGGCTGGAGATTTGGTTTCCCCTGGCCACGTATAGAACAGACCAAAAGCATCTGCCAATGGCTTCATGGGCCTGGGCTTGTGCTGCCAATGTACCCTGCCTGCTTTCACGCAAACGCGCAGGCATCACGTTTGGATGCTGGATCGAGTTGCTCGTACGGCGACGTCGAGAGATAGATTGGGCTCGATATTGGTTCCGCCTGCTCTACATCACGCTGCTGAGCCTCGTCATCTCTTTTCTCAGTCTAGTGGAGGAGGTTTGATGTCTACTCGCGTGTGCTCGTTCGCAGGGCACAGTGGCCGAGACCTCATTGATTGTTTTTTTTTCCGACTGCCGTTTTCCCGACCTCTCTGTTCAGCTCTTGTACGGCTCATTGGTTCGCGCCACAGAGCTCCATCCGGCTCCCGTGTTTGTGCTTGGTACGCAATGTTCCCTCCTGGAGGTGGACAAGTTTTGCATTGTTACAGCCGGGGTGTCGGTGTCTCCCCTGATCCTGCCCCTCCTTTCCAATATCGCCTCTACAGGACACCCTCGGACAGGCACAACACATCTTCACAATCTTTTGAACTTGGATCCAGGCCTCTGCGCGCCGCAAACGCTGCAATGTGGCTTTCCCAACGCCTCGCTTGTGGTGCGGCCCCTCAAGGGTCTCTTGGCTGGCATGCTTTCCAAGACGCGGCCCATGGACAACGTGGCCTTGGGCTTGGACACGCCACAGGAAGATGAACTTGGCCTGAACGTGATGACGGCTGGCTGCTCCATGGTGATGCCCGTGGCCATGATGGCTGCCGAGCCCGAGTACCGCAAGTATTTCGATTTTAGCTTGGCCAGCGATGCCGATACAGATCGGTGTGTTGTCGTGTCCTGCATCAATCAAGCCCACAGGATTGTTGGCGCTCTGATCCTCACCCTCTGCTGGCGATGGTAGGTACATCCATCAGTTTCGCACTTTTTTGCGCAAGATCACGCTGGCATCGGGCCGTCGCCTCCAGCGGCTCGTTTTGAAGAGTCCTGGGCACACGGGAAAGGTGGATTTGTTGCGGCAGTTGTTTCCTGAGGCCCAGTTTGTCTATGTGCATCGCGATCCATATGCGGTCTTCAAGTCGGCCGTCAACATGGCGGGTGCGTCTTGTCTTGTGCTTAGGGTGTGCCGGATTGCGCCGCGAACCCTCATCCTTACTTTTCCATTTCTGATCTGTCGGCCATGACCGTGCACAGACAAGACGTATTGGTTCAGTGATCTGACCAGCCCCAGTGATGAGCAGGTATGAACGGCTTTGCGGCGACAAGGACCAAGAGGGGGCTTCTAGTTGGCCCGAGCAGGTGGTGTGATTTGGAAGCCTCATAACCCTCGACTCTCCGATGCATAGATTATGGAGTTTATTCTCAATCAGTACGAGGTATTGTATCAAAACTACATTTCGGCGCGCTCGCGCATTCCTCCGGGGCATTTGGTTGAGGTGGCCTTCCAGGAATTGGACGAGGACCCGGTGGGCACGGTTCGTACAGGCGCAGCTCCTTGTCAAGGCACTGGTCCCGTGGTCGAGCCTGCTCGACTCGACTCATGGCAAGGGCTCGTGCCAACAGATGCGACGCGTGTACGAAGGGCTGGGCTGGACGCACTTTGATGAGGTACGTCAAGCGAGAGCTTTCCTCAGCAGCCACGACGTGATCGGCCTCACCAACTGTCAACCCGCTGCCAGGTTGCGCCCAGAATTGAAAGCTACATCGAGAGCTTGGGCACTTTTAAGAAGAACCAATTTACAGAGCTTGCTCCCGAGGACGTGGCGCTGGTCAATAAGCGCTGGGGCCCATCCTTTGCTGAATTTGGGTACCCCATGCGCCCATCCCCCTGATGGCGCGCACCAGAGCCCCTTTCCAATCAAACTCGAGCACCCGATTTCAACTGCACGGGTTGGCTTTCCCTTGTCACGCCTGATCATAGCGCACGACAACCAAGAAAGCGATGGGGCCAGCCTGAAAAAGTGGCGAGAGAGAGAGAGAGAGAGAGAGAGAGAGAGAGAGAGAGAGAGAGAGAGAGAGAGAGAGAGAGAGAGAGAGAGAGAGAGAGAGAGAGAGAGAGAGACAGAGAGACAGAGAGACAGAGAGACAGACAGACAGAGAGACAGAGAGACAGAGAGACAGACAGACAGAGAGACAGAGAGACAGAGAGACAGACAGACAGAGAGAGACAGACAGAGAGACAGAGACAGAGAGACAGAGAGAGAGATGAACAGAGAGATGAACAGAGAGAGAGAGAGAGAGAGACAGAGAGACAGACAGACAGACAGACAGAGAGAGACAGACAGAGAGACAGAGACAGAGAGACAGAGAGAGAGATGAACAGAGAGATGAACAGAGAGAGAGAGAGAGAGAGAGAGAGACAGAGAGACAGACACAGAGAGACACTTACTTGTCATCATTTTTTTACGCATCTATCTTACTGTGAGGCACGCGCGCGTCGTTTGCGCTTCCCCGCTCGATGCGCCAGATCCACCAGCAGAGGGGGTAAACTGGCTGTTGGGAGTGGGAGGATGGGTGTCTCATGATGGGCTGATGGCCTGGTATTGGCTTTGGTCGATGGAGTGTATTGTAGTGCTGTTGGAACGAGATCATGGCGACCAAAGTTTGCGTGACGGGCGCGTCTGGTGCGTGTTTTCTATTCGCTTGGGCTCCAGATTGATGTGAACCTCTCGCGTGCACGGCTCACAGCAATTAACACGCTGTTGGTGAGGCCAGGCTTTGTGGCAACGCACTGCGTGCAACAGCTTCTGGAGGATGGTTACTAGTACGTTGAGCGATTCTTGATGCCGCGGTTAATGCCAAGCTTCGCTCACGTGCGTGCACTGGTTTTACAGCGTCAAGGCCACCGTGCGCGATCCCACGGATGAGAAGAAGGTTTGTGCTACCGTTTGGTGTGCGCTTGCCACAGTGTGCTTGCCAGCTACTGTGCGCTACGGCTGTCCCTAGCTGAGCGTTTTCCGAGGATGTGTTCGAGTGTAGGTGTCGTTTTTGAAGCGGATCGCCGCCGAGGCCAACGCTGAGGATCGGCTCGAGCTCGTCAAGGGTGAGCTGCTGGAGGAGAACAGCTTTGACGACGCTGTCAAAGACTGCGAATATGTCCTGCACACGGCGTCTCCCTTTTTCATCACCTCGGTACGCGCGCGACTGGCTGAACCTACTCGTGTGACGTTGCCGCGGCCTAACGTGCCTGTGTTGCCACGCCTCGTCAGGACGGTGATCCAGATGAAACCTTTATCCGCCCTGCTGTCAAGGGCACGGAAAACGTCCTCAACTCGGTGGCCAAATCCAGCACCGTGAAACGCGTGATCCTCACGTCCAGCTGTGCTGCCATCTACGGCTCCAACGACGACAAGGAAGGGGTCTTTACCGAGGAAGACTGGAACCGCACCAGTGACCGCAAGAATGGCGCCTATTCGCTCAGCAAACGTATGGCCGAAGAACGTGCCTGGGAAATGGCCAAGGCTCAGGACCAGTATCAACTCATCACCATCAACCCGGCCTTTGTCATGGGACCCACCCTCTCTGGTCGTGGCACAGCCAGCTACGACTTTGTGAAGAAAATTGTGGACGGTACGCGCCCCCAGCCTTGTCGCATGGCCTGGCTCCCATGTACTGCATCCCAGGTGCACGCAGCGGCACTGCCTTTTGATGCGGGCCTCGCTTCATGACAACATTTATCTTTTGTTTTTTTTTTTAAGAATCCATGCGCACCCAAGGTCTCATGACACGACGATTCTCTGCTCTCATTCTCGTTTTCAGGATCGATGAAGCCGTACTGTCCCCATCTCGTGGTTGGTATGGTGGATGTGCGCGACGTGGCCAAGGCTCACATCAAGGCCATGACGCACCCAAACGCTCAGGTACACGGCCCATGCCTCTCTCCGCTCTGATTTCAAATTCGCACCATTCCCCATGCCCAATGACTTTGGACTTGGCTCTGGTTCCCTGGGCGTAGGGTCGCTACATTGTGGCGCCTGAAAGCTTGACGCCCTTGGATGTGGCAAACATTTTGAAGGAGAAGTTTCCCAACTTTTCCTATCCCAGCGGCTATGCGCCCAAGTGGCTTCTCTACATTTTTGGCCCAATGATGGGTACGGGTTCAGCGGGCGGGTTTTACCCCATATGCCTGCACTAGGCTTTTTTTTTTTTTTTTTTTTTTTTTTTGAGCCTTTTCGTATCTAATGTCTGATTTCCCCATTGGACTTGCTCGGCAAACTCTGCAGGTGTCTCGTGGCACTTTGTGTCTCACAACATGAACGTGGACATTAAGTTTGATGTGAGCAAGATCAAGAAAGAGCTCGACTTTGAGTTTCGCCCCATCTCTCAAGGTTTGTCGCGGCTGCATGGCTCGCTGATCGTCTGCTTGGTGTCGAGTTGTCAAGTTTCTAATTCCTCCAATGCACCCCGCCGGACAGCGCTTTTGGACATGGTCGAGGCCGGGATCGAGTCAGGCATTCTCAAGCCAAAGAAGAAGTAGAGCTCATGACGCTTGTCATGCCATAGTCGAAGCGTCGTTCTGGTGTTTCAAGCCGGCCTGGCCGTGTCCACCATGCCGTTTGCCTTGATAGTGGGGGCGGTGTGTGTGCGCGCGTCTGTGTGCCTGCTGCTCGTGTGTGTTCTCTCGTCCAGCTGCAACGAAATCAAGCCCCAGCAGTACACACGCACGCAGAAACTATCACATGAGCCAGACCAGACGGAAGACACCACATCCACAAGGGACAACCCCCCCCTACCTCTATCTCTATCTCTACGCTGCGTTCTTATCCATCGCTCCCCTAATCATCTGTACGTGTGTGTGTGAGTGCGTGTGTGTGTGTGTGTGTGTGTGTGTGTGTGTGTGTGTGTGTGTGTTCTGTCTCCGCTCTCTCTCACGTTTTCTCGTCTCTGTCTTCTTTCTCTAATCAATTCTGTCTCTCTCTGTCTCTCTCTGTCTCTCTCTGTCTCTCTCTGTCTCTCTCTGTCTGTCTGTCTCTCTCTCTGACCAAACCAATAATTCATCTCTCTCTCTCTCTCTCTCTCGTTTATTTTTCTCTCTCTCTCACTCCAGGAGCCAATGCCAGTGTGTGTGTGTGTGTGTGTGAGTGAGTGAGTGAGTGTGTGTGTGTGGGAGTGCGGCTGGACGCGGGGCGCTCTTTCGCGGCTAGGGACGGAGGGGGGAGTAGTGCTTCATTTGGGGGGTGTTGGGGAGCTACTTGGTTGTATCGCGTGGAGGATCCATCATGGCGCGGCGCTCGGTTGATGATGTGGCGCGTACGTGATTTCGCTCGCTGGGGTGCCTGCCTCGAGACCCGCTTTTGGTTTCCGTACTGGCATCGGTCTCAGGCTGCATTTGGTATCGGTGTGTAGCCATGGAGCGACGGGGAAACTGGTTTCGGCGCCGGGGTCACAAGCGCAACAGCTCCACTGGGTCAGCCCTCAGTGTGGCAAGCGACGATCTGAATGGCAGCAGTGACGCCTCCTCGCTCAAGTCGAGGTTTCGAGGTTTTACCGACACCGTGATAGAGCACCTGACTCGGTCCGTTCTTCCGCATGAGATGAGCCTCCCTTTGCGTGATGCGCGCTCGACACCGTGCATTTAATCCCTTGCGTTGTGCGGCGATCACCCCTTGTTGTTAGCGAGTCGGCGGCGGGCTATGCCTTTCTGTCCAAGTTGTCAAACAAGGCCGCCGCTCAAGATGCGGCGACCCAGATGCGGCGCTTCCTCAAGGCCTTTGAGGAGAGTAGCCCTCACACCACCGTGGCTGAGAAGGCTGCTGCCGTGCAAGAATTTTATGAAATGATGCAGAATCGCATGGATCAAGTCAATGCCTGGCGTGACGTTGACCCGGAGGAACGCGATCAAGTCATGGATGGCCTTGAACGCTACATTGTGCAACACATCTATGACAGGTACCGAGCCTATTTGACTTCCACCGATGCACTCGGACATGGCCAGGCCATCTCGGGACCGATGTTTGTCACCCTCGCTCGCTTACCGGCTTGATTGTGAATGAATCTCTTTGCGCCGGATGCTCGTTCAGTGTCTTTCTGCAGGACGACGAGGATGAGCAAAAGGATGTCCGCATGCAACTGCGCATTCGGCAGCTGCACTGGATCACGCCTCGCAACCTCGACGCCAACATTGACCTGAACAGCGACGAGGTCCTACAAGAAGTGACTCGTGCTCAAGAGGAGCTCTTGACCATGGACGCCATGCGTGCGCCGCAGGATAAGCTCCAGTGCATTGTCGCGTGCAGTAAAAGCGTGTTTCGCATCCTGCGTCTTTCCAGCCAGGTATGCGCCCGCTGGTTTTGTCTCCTTATTTTTTTACCTTCTCGAAAGACAAGGACGCAAAAACGTTGGTTTTCAACTTGAAGCCTCCTCCCCTCCGCCCCTCCCCTCTCACCCCGTCTCTCTGTTTTTATTTTTTGCAGGACAAAAAGGCCCAGGCTGCCGATGACTTTTTGCCGGCCCTCATTTACATCCTCATCAAGGTCAATCCACCCATGCTACACAGCAACATGCAGGTTTGACTCACCGTATTCGACGTGACCGACTTTTCAAACACGCCGCCCGTGCTAACACATATCACCATGCATGTGCATGGCGATAGTTTATCGAGCGATTCGCCGAACCTTCGCGTTTAATGGCTGGTGAAGCCGGATATTACTATACCAATCTCATGAGCGCCACGGCGTATGTGGAACACTTGGTACGCGCATTTGCCATTCATGCCGACTCCTGTGCAGCCTGAACACTCAGCTCGCTCTCTAACAGCTGTATTAACCTTCGACCCGTCTACACTGTCCTAGAATGCCGAGCAGCTGGAAATGAGCCAGGACGACTTTGATCGTGCTCTCCGTGGTTCAGTCATTGGTCCGTCCTATTGGGCCTGCGCGTCTGTTTCGGGTCTGCCCGAATTTTCTTCCCTTCCCTTGCCCTTGCCCTTGCCCTTGCCTCTCATCAACCTCGCTGTCCGCATTGCAGACGCCACAGAAGGTATCGAGGTCATCAAGAATCTAAAGTCCATGTTGGATCGGTGTCGCAACGTTGAGAATAAGCAGCAGGTTCTGATGGAAGAAATGTCGCTTCTTCTCGACACATTATCGGCCCTGACCGCTTCGACCGTCAAGGTAAGAGACTCTATTGCAAGACAGCCGACGAGCCCTCCATGCGGCGCCCCCTCATTGATCTTTTGTGGCTGTGTCCTCAGCCAATCCCGACGGTTCCCGAGAGTGCCATGGCGCGTATTGCGGGTGGTGTAGGGGTCGCCAGCGACGACGAGGATGATGACTCTCTCTTCTCCAGCACCTCAAAGGCCATCCACCGCACTGATACGGGCGCCTCGTCCACACCTCCTCCAAGTGAGGACCCTTCTGTATCACAAATTCTTGTTGATGACGAGGCCTATCCGGCTCCACCTCAAGCCGAGCCGTCCACGGCCAACTCGGCTTAGCCAAAACCCCTGCTAGATTTTGTTTCCTATTCTGTTTGTCTAGACTCCACTATTTGGCTATTCCTAGCCCTAGGTTCTTTCACCCCTTCACCCCTGGTGCCGCTGCTACGTTGGCTTGCATTGCTTTCTTTTTTTGTTTTGTTCACCTTTAATGTTCAGGCCGCGCGCGCTTCTAATCGATTGTAATTGCAGCTTCACACTTGTTTCCTTTACTCTCGGTTTTTCCTGAACGCAACTCAAGGCAAATCGAGAGCACAGGCTGCCTCTTGGCGCAACCACAGATCAAACTTGAACCTTGGGTCAAAAATGACCTCGGCCGCATCGCCGGCCTGCTCCTCTACAAACTTGGCCCACTCGGCCCGATGTTGATCCAGCACCTGTTGGATGGCAGGCACGGCTTCCTCGGCCGCGCTGTTGTCGGCATCTTTTTTGCCCGCCTGCCAACACAAGAAATACCATGAGCCACCTGGCCCCGGCAGTTCCCTTGCAACACCACACAAAGCTGTCCCTAAACACGCCATCACACCTGTTCCACCAGGCGGTGAGTAATACCCGACAGCTTGCGACTCAGCTTGAGCACATGCTGGTGCAAAGCCAACAGGCACGCCGTGTGCAGGCGCGCGGCCGTTGAAGCCGCTGTCCACCACAATAAAAGGCATACAAAGGGAAGGAATGAGCAACGGCATTTGATTTTTTGAAACAGCTGGGGGGTCGTGCCACACATGTCTTTGACCCTAGTACTGGCATCAGCATACCAAGATATTGGCGGAGCTTGACTTCATCCGAAATGCGCGATGACGCCATCTCTTCCTCGCGCCGCGTCTGATCGTCCGCTGTCGACTGTGAAAGGACAAGCCCCGACTACCACCCAAGCGTGTTGTGAAATTGAAGTCGAGCAAAGGGGCTCTTGATCTGAAGCCGACCCTGGGAACATACCTTCTTGACCGCATTGTTTCGCGCCTTGCTCATTTGATTGCGGTATCGTTGTTGCCGCTGTCAGTCGGTCATCATTGAGAAATCGTAACGTAAGAACAACCTGGGTTTTCTCCCGGAGCGACGCCTTGGACAATTGTCTCACCTTGATGAGCGCCTTTTCCGTGTACTTGCCATCCTTGAGAAACTTTTGCTCCACCCGCTTGATGTGCTCCTAAACGTGGGTCGAAAGCCACAGTAGTGAGCTCTGAGGGTTTCCTATCTGCCCCCTGCTGAAATGCCCTCTACTCACCTTGGCATAAGTAGCAATGACTTGCTCAAGACGCGCTTGGTAGCGTGCTAGCTTCTTGTTGTAAGTTTTTAACCAAAGCTCTTCATACTGTGCCGGCACGGGCAGTTGCAGCTCGGTGACGGTGGGCAGGGAAGGCGGCAGGCAGCCGCCAAATTCGCCGGGGCCCTGCTCAAAGCGAGAGTCGACAATGTCAATCAAATCTTGCTGGAGCTTGGGCATGAATGCGTAGCTGGATGTGTTATCCGGCAAATCATCGTCATTTGCGTCTTCCTCATCCTCGCCAAAGTCAGCCTCACGCTCAAGGGCCAGCACCACCTCGGTAAATTCAGTCAGAGCCAGCTCCTGTGGATGCATGCGACACGTGAGATCACAAGCATTCACCCCATGCTCTCCGACTAAACGGCAGCCCACACTGGTCTCGCATTGGAGGTGATGATGCGAGTTCACACACAACTGCAGACACACCTTGAGTGGGATAGCCACACTGCCCACGGGCTTGCGCGCGTTGCCATTTCGCAAGTCAAGCAGGAGGTAGTCTTGCTGAACCTGAACGGAAGATATTGATGCTGGAATTACTTTCAAAGCCGGATCGCTGAACCGAGACATGAGATGAGCCGGTCGAACAACAACGAGCCTACCACATCGGGGGCAATGCCAAAGTAGGTAAAGGTGTGCTCCCACTTTTTCTCGGGATCGACCTACAAGAGTGCAACGGGACAAAAAGGGCAGTGTGATTGACAGCATCAAACAGCAACGAGAGACAGGGGCAACACACACCTCGGTTCGCATGTCCTTGCCCTTGATCTGCTTGGCCCGCTTGTCCACTGGTCGCGTATACAGGAAGCGTGCCTGATGCAGGTCCATTATGAGCATACCGGGGAAGACAAACGATTCATCAACATGGATCTAGCGCAAGCATACCACCACAAACGGGCTTTTCTTGGAGGCTTTAACCTCCGTCGCTTCGTGCACCGTCACAACAAGCTTCTCTTGCTCAGGAAACAGTCGGGCACTAAATTTGAGGAGTCCACGGGGCTTGGGCGCATCAACATCGAGACTTTGGACGCGCTAGATGCACAACCCACCCACAGGTCAAAGGCCGACGACTTTGGCCAACTGCCAGGGGTGAAGCCTGTTGCACCAAACACAAAGCAGTGCACCAACCTTATCCTCGATGACAATGCCCCAGGAAAGCTCCATGGGCTGCGTGCAAAGTGCAGCCAACTACTCGTAAGAACGCACCGGAGAAAGTCTCAGCGCATTTGCAAGACAGCAGGCCTACCTTCATGGTTGCCGTGAGGTACCGGCGCTTCTTGTCCTGGCGGTAAGTGTCGCACACGTAGAGGGTGTCACCCGTGGCCGGGTCGTAAATACGCTCACCAATACGCAGCTTGCGCAGCTCGGTCTTCTTGACCTTTGGCTCCTTTAACGTCTTGATCTCTGTTTGACAAGTGTTTAAAACGCTCAAGGTGAGCCAAGCGCGCTTCTGATGCTATCGATAGACAAGCATGCAACCACGCAGCGTACCTTTCTCGTATTTGCCTCCCTTGAACGTTTGCGAGACGGCAGCCTCGCCAAACCAGCCGCTGGCACTGTGGGCGGATGGATTGTGACGACGACTGCCACCCAAGATAGCTTGGATGGCATCCTCGCCGCCCAGCTCTTGAAAGGTATTCCAAGCCTCACTGAGCGTCTCGCCATACTCACCCATGAGCTCAAAGGCAGCATCAAGGGCAGAGTCCAAGAGACCACCCAACGCACCATCCAGCCCAATGTCTCCGACGCCTGCCATGCTCATGGCACCCTACGATTGAAGATTACCAGTGATGCAATGCGCTTTGAGATACATGGAGACAGCCGTAGGTATGAATCCCCATAGCAATGCTAAACGCTCGACCACCGTACCGACAGACCCATTTTGAGCAGAAAGGCGCTAAACTTCATGCCTGCTGTAGCGGCTTTTGCTTTGCGCTCCGAGGCTAGCAAATCGCCGTGGCCCTCGTACATGGCCTCGGCCCGGTCCAGGATGCGATATTTGGCATAGGGTACCTAGGAGTGAACATGGGGCATCATGTGAGGTAAGCAGCAGGTGAAGATGGTTGCTCATGGCCACCGATGCCCAAGCTCACCTTGGCGCAGGCCACAGCGTAGGCATTGAAGAGAGGACGGTCGGTGCGGCACCACTTATCCCACAGGGGGCCGGTGCCGGGTAGGATGATTCCCATGGCTGACCAAAAGCCGTGCTTGATGCCATCCCAGGCAGCAGCGTAGTCATCTTCATGGGCTGTTTCGACGGCAATCAGCGCTGACACAGCCAAGCACGGGTTGAACGCGTCGTTGGCCAAAAGCAAATCTACCATGGGGCGATCCTCATACTCAAATTCCTAAACACCCCGTGACAACCCACAGGAGCAACACTCGGCATGAGTCAGGTCGGCCAAAGCTTGACAGGCGTGACAGATGGAAACATGGATCTCAAGTGTACCGTCATGAAAGCATAGTCTGCAAGATGCAGCCCCTTGCTGTCGCGCACGTCCAAGTGTGCTCCACAGTTGTGCAAAAGTTTAACCCTGATGAATCGCACCACCGTCATGAGAGTTGAGAAGACCAGCTGCAGGGCATGGAAGGTTGCTTTGCAGAGGAACATGACACCCACAGCGGCCAGTTGCCACGCTTGACATTGCGTGTTGCAAGGAAGATGCAAGTTCGGCCCTTGTCGCATTTAATGTTTGGATCGGCCGCGCAGTAACGCAGGAGATAGTGGACCATGATCACGTTCTATATAGGACAAAAAGCGAGCAGGCGTGAGCTGGCCGCGCTTGCATTTGCACGTGCAATAATCAGGCTGAGCATAACATACTTGGTGAAGACAGGCATACCAAAGCATGGTACGTCCACGTCCATCCTGAACAAATTGAAAGTCAAGCACCAGTTGCCGCAAGTCAACGAGGCGAGTGGTGATGAAAAGTGAGGAAACACAATGCATTTCTCAGCCACAACAGGTTTTGCTTCAAGTGGACTCACCCTTGAGTTGACCTGCTCGGTCGTCAGCGGTGTGCTGCGATGGGCTGGAGGCTGCCATTGCACATTTGCATCTGACATTGCACGAAGAGATGTACATACCAAGCGGTCAGGCCACGCCGGGGTCTGACTGGAAGAATTAAGCACGATTCAAACAAACCGTAGCGGCATGGGACGTTGACCAAGCGGAAAAGGCCTTCAACGTTGTTGTTGCGAGCCGCTGCCATGTACGGCGTGACACCCTCGGCGTCTGCCAAGTGCACATCAGCTCCCTCATCCAACAGCCATTCCAACAAAGCAACGCGACTCCAGCTGTTGAATAATTTAGTGGCACGTTTGCAAGCACGGCAACAAGCCAGATTAACACCAAGGACCAGGATGCCAATGACGCACCATCGCCAACCAAGCTTACCGATAGAAGCGACAGCCTGCGTGCCAGACAAGTGAGCGGCCGAGCCCATCTTGCTCGTTGATGTTCACTTCTCGAGCCGTAGGTTCTTCCGAAGCAGTCTGGACAAAAGGAATCTCTTGTTCCTGAGGGGAAAATCAAGAAGGGCAAACAGGTGTGAGGGATCGCACTTCAGCTGCTAACGGGATGAGGTCCCTCAACATACTCGGTAATAGTCCCGAAGGACAAAGGCAGCTTCCACGAAGCCTCGACGGGTGAGCTCCATGAGGAGTGAGTTGTTGGGGCTCATGTGACTTTCGCCCTTGGGAAATTTGGGAACGTCTGGCACGCGGACGTCGACGATCTCTTCACCCAGACGAGTGTACGCGCTGACGACGGTGCGCACAAAAAGTGGATCCAGATCAAGGCATGTCCAAATGAGTGGATGAAAACCGAGGCGGTTGGCTTCATGGCGCAGGCCAGAGTTCTTGTAGCTGGACGCGGCTTCCAGAAGCATCAAAACAATGTCGAGGCGCCGAGCCGATATGGCGCGATGGAGCATGGGATCCGTGTCGGCAGCTCGCTCCGATGGATCAGCGCCGAGCTGTAAGAGACCAAAGGTAGCATCATAGCTCTTGGCATCGAAAAACCAATAGACAGGGGTCTTGCTCTTGGTTTTGATTTCAACGGGCTCATTTAAAATGCTGCCTTGCACAGCCGGCAGGCTGGTAGAGGTCAAGAGGAGTGCCAGGGTGTCGTTGGCCCGCACGTGGCGGAGGACGGCTGCCTTGATGGCATGCATGCCATCTTCCATGCGCACGTTGAGGTCGGGGCAAAAAGGTGTGAGCACCTTGATGGAAGCATGCAAATCGTACGACGACTTGAAGAGCAATGCATGAATCAAGGCCGTCTCGGCACCCTCGGCAACACGTAGGTTGATATTGCAGCGACCAGAAATCAAAAGGGCTGCAGTGAAAATCCGGATACATGAAAAACAAATTCAAAGCGCGGAAAGAACGGTGTGTTAGCTGGGCGAATGTTGCAGACGAAGCAAGCACGATTTTGCAAGGGTCGTGATATGCCGAGAAGGAACAGGAATACCTTCGACAACAAAGTAGTGACCACAGGCCAAGGCTTCAAACAAAGGAAGGTCTTGCGTGGTCGAGAAGAGGTGGGCCTCGGCTTTGTGATCGAGGAGGATGGACACGGCATCGAGGCAACCTTCACGGCAGGCCACCAAGAGCGGCGTCTCACCGAGGGTATTGGCTTTATTGACGGACGCGCCTCGCTTGGCGAGCGCGTGGATGACGTCGGCCAAGTTCTTTTCCGCTGCCATGAAGATGGCCGTTCGACCAAGATGATCTACTTCGTCCAAGGGTACTGTGGTGGATTCGACAAACTCAATCAATTCGTCAATGACTTGGAATGAGCTTGTTGATTCGCCTGGTTAGGAAAGAACAGGGGTTTGTGAGACGGGGGGCACAGTAGTGGACAAGTTGTGGCGGAGTATCGATTTGTTGATATCATACTTACGATCGCGCATGGGATGAGTGGTTTTGGTGCTCTTGCGCGAAGGCTTGCTGCGACGTTTGATCACTTTGTTGAGTGAGGGGGCGGCAGCAATGCGCTCAATCAGCTCAGTTGGCGTGTTTTCATTGGGCGTGGACACCTAAAATTGCAAAAGGCAAGCAAGTTGAGTCCTTTTCGGGTGAAACACTGCGAGGCGGAAGGAGAAGAGCAGAATGGAGAATAGCCAGAGGATCCAGCCAGCCTTGATACCTGGGCAGCGAGCCCCAGGCTTGGGCAGGTGGCGTTGTCGTGGCATGCCTGGAGGATAATTTCGGGATCAAGCAGGCATTCGTAGTCTTCAACTTTTTTCGGGAGTCGATAATCCAACGAGGAAGGGGTTTGACGGGAGGAGTTGAGTTCGGATACGACATCGTGCTTGAGACCGCTTAGGGAGGACGAGCGACGCTTGAGCTGGCGGCGACGGGTCTCGGCTCCACTTGAGCTGCGTCGGCGGGTGACCACAATGGACGCATTGTTGTTGGTCGATCCAAAGCTGCTGACGGACTCGGAGCGACGCTGGTAGAGAGAGCACAAAGGTGACCAAAGGTGAGTTTTGGCTCGGCAATAAGGTCGACCTGCAATGCGTAGCAAAACGATCGACGAGGGCAGGTCCACAAGACCTTGCTCGGGCTTGCATCGGATGCCTCGGACCAAGCTGTGGAGGGCCGAGCATCTCGTGACGGGAGGTCGGGCAAAACTATCATGACAGTTGAGTGAATGGCAGTGCTGTGCGGTCAAGCGGCGGCGAAGCAAGGAGGGACGGAAGGTGCTGGGATGGTCATACCAGCATCCGTGTCGCTATCACCAAAGCCGTCAAAGATTTCATCATCGACGACCTGATGGCTGCTCCCCAAATGCTTGCCTGCGAGATCGAACAGAGCCATTTGGCTGAGCGTTTTGAGCGGCTGTGGAGAAGGAGGGGTAGAAACGTACCGACAAAGTCGTCCAAGGGACCGATGTCGGTGTTTTGAACTTCACCTGCAAAAAGCAAAGCCAGGGCAGCGAGTGAAGGCGAAGGGATCGGGTGTGGGCGCGGAAGGGATCAGGTGTGGGCGCGGAAGAATTCGGGTGTGGGCGCGAAAGGATCAACGACACAACAAGCCCGGGGGCGCGCGCGTACTGATGATGCTCAAAGCACCGGCAGCGGCGCCAATGGCGTCCAAATCGGTGCTCTGAATAAAGTCTGTCGATTGCATGCGCAGTCATTGAGAAGCAGTGGTCGGCTGGCTGGTGGCAATGGCCGCAAGGACAAGAGCACCACCACATACCCATGGCACCTGGTGTGGCCCTTGCCGCCACTCGTTCAAGAGAGAGAGAAAAAAATGAGATCCCAAGCCCCCCCCAGCTCGTGTGATAAACGCCAGGTCTTGCCCACAAGCCGGCGAGGCCCTGCATCAACACAACACGGTCGCAAGCGTCGGAACCTTCCCCAAACCACCAAGCCCCCGACTTACGAGCCCATGCGCATCAAGGATAAAACCAGCATTGGCGTCCCTGCTCCAAACACTCTGTGTGTGTGTGTGTGTGTGTGTATGTGTGTGTGTGTGTGTGTGTGTGTGTGTGTGTGTGTGTGTGTGTGTGTGTGTGTGTGTGTGTGTGTGTGTGTGTGTGTGTGTGTGTGTGTGTGTGTGTGTGTGACTCTCTGCGACTCCGATGAGCTAGCGCTCTCCCTCTGGCTGCCTATGCTTGTTGGTCACATCATGATCCTGTCTCTTCCCCCGGCCTTCGCTCTTGTCTCTGACGTGCTTGCAACTGCCCTGATCCGATAGGTTCGCGTTCCTATGGGGTATGCTAGACCCATGGCATCATTGTGGGATTATTTTGCCTATTCGTTCGCGTTTTCGTGTCTTCTCTATGCTCCCTCGTATTTCTCTCTTGTTTCTCTTATTTCTCTTCTCGCCTCTCTTCTTTCTCTTCGTTCACACGCTCTTTTTCTCCCTTCTCTCTCTGCGTTCTTCTCACTCTCCGCTTTCTCTTCCATTCGCTCTCCCTCCCTCTCTCTCTCTACTCTCCAGTCTGAAGGTGACGTAACGGAGGAATCAGTGGGGGTGCGCTCATGATCGATCGGCGCGCTTCCTGGAAATTTGCGCTACAAGACGACTCCAGTCTTGGGTGCGTGCGCCATGACGATTGGAGGCGGAAGTGGAGGATCGAGGACAGCGTCAGTCGATCGATTGGTCAATTGAGTCGATCGATTCGGTCAGTTGGTCATCAATCAGTTGGTCGTCGGTCGGTTATTCGATTGACACGGACGATCGCGCCAACTTTGGCAGGTGTCTGCCAGCCACCCGCACACCCTACCGTCGTCCTTCGTCTCGAGTTGTGCAGCAAGCCATCAAGGCCATGGGCATGAGTTATGGCAGCAACACGTTTGGGGCGGAAGGGGCAGTCGAAAGAAAACGCGCTGACGACCTCCGTCCGCAACATTCACATGTCAGTTGACCGCCGCCCCTCTGGCGGACTGCGATCATCCAATTGCAGACCATGAAAGGTGCAAAAGTGAAAACGAACTGTCAAAGTTGGCCAACATGAGCAAGGAAAGGCAACAAGACCCCATTGCCTCTTGAGCCCAACATTGATTGACCAGCCAAGCGCAAAAGGCAGCTTGGGCATAAACAACCTAGCCATGACCACGTTCGGGGCTCAAGTTCGCACCTGTTACCCTCAAAACTCGAAGCTGAATACGGTGGGGATGAAAGCGATCCCAGCCCGAAGACGAGGCGAACCAACGAGGTGTGCCTGTCTCGTCTCTCTCTCTCTCTCTCTCTCTCTCTCTCTCTCTCTCTCTCTCTCTCTCTCTCTCTCTCTCTCTCTCTCTCTCTCTCTCTCTCTCTCTCTCTCTCTCTCTCTCTCTCTCTCTCTCTCTCTCTCTCTCTCTCTCTCTCTCTCTCTCTCTCTCTCTCTCTCTCTCTCTCGCCTCGTGGGCCGCCTCGTTTTCTCTCGTTTCAAACACGTGTTCACACCCATGTCAGCAAATCAACAAAGACATACTACGTTTACCAGCAGAGAGTCTACTCACAGCTACGAAGAACATAACGTTAAAATCAAGCTATAACAAGAGATTTAATACGAACCCTTCATCTCAGGGAAAGAAGAGAGAGGCGCCGAGCAGATTGCAACACAGTCGAACGCGACGATGGCAGCGCCACACGAGACGACAGGCGCGGCGATGGCGACGGACGATGAGACGCCAGTGACGGAGCGGGAGAATGAAATTACACGGCATCTGGATACGCAGGATGCGCATGGTATAGTGGATCTTTTGCGCCAGTGTGATGAACAGCTGCAGACGGGTTATCGTGACATGCCGGCTCTGCAAAGCCCGGCCATGCTGCGTGAAATGGCGCGGCTCTCGGGCGCCCTGCAGGAGCTCCTCGCTGCTTCGGATAAGCGCTGTGCCGTCGTCCTGGCCGGATCTGGCACCTCCGGCCGCATGGCCTTTCTCATCGTTCGTGCCTTTGCAAAGACACTGCAGGAACAGGGCTGCGGCCACGTGGACCTGCATTACCTCTGCGCCGGGGGCGATGTAGCCCTCTTCGCAGCTCGCGAAGCCCCCGAGGACAATTGGCGCCTTGGTGACACGCAGCTCCAAAACCTCGTCGACCGCTACGATAAATTGCTGTATATCGGCATTACCTGCGGTCTCAGCGCTCCTTACGTCGCTGGCCAGCTCCACGCTGGCCTGCGCTCACCAACCAAGACGCGCCTCGCTGTTCTGGGCTTCAACCCTCTCCGCCTCGCTCGCCGCCTTCCCATCGAGGGCACCGATTGGACTTTTGCCTCCACCCTTGAAACCGTCCTTGCCCACGATGGCCTCCTTGTCAACCCCATCATTGGCCCCGAGGCCGTCACTGGCTCCACCCGCATGAAGTCGGGTACCGCCACTAAAATTGTCCTCGAGGTCGTTTTCCAGGCTGCCCTCACTAACCTCCAAGACCCCGCGACTACCCGCCCGCCTGCCCCCGCGTCCCAAGATCCCGCCGCTTGGGCTCCTTTGGAGAAGCGCCTCTCTGCTCTTCTCGACCCCTATTTTGCACATGCAGCTGCCACCTACAGTGACCCCCCAAGCTGTGCCACCATGGCTCAACTCATCGAGCTCGGAACCGCCGCTTTGCAACAGCGCCGGCACCTTTACTACCTCTCCCACGATGTCTACGGCATCGAGGCCCTCATCGACGCCTCCGAGTGCCCACCCACCTTCAACGCACGCTATGGCGACGTTCGCGCCTTTGTCCGCGGCGGCTACACCACCCTGGCCAATGCAGAGGGTAACCTGCGCGCCCAGCACAACGATCGTGACCTTGACCTCAGCCTCGACGATTTTGTCCAATTTCATGCACCTCAGCTGACCTCGAACGACTGCGTCGTCGTTCTCCTCGTGGGTCAAGAATCTCTCGAACCTTTTGCTGATAGCCTGGCAGCCGCCCGCGCCCACAACTGCACCATTCGCATCGTACGCGTGGATGATGCCGCTAACCGCACGCCCAATGCCGACGGTGACCTTCAAGACATTCCCGAGTTGAAGGTGCACGGATGGGCTCCCACAGCCCCTTTCCTGACCGAGCTGACCGTCAAACTGCTGCTCAATGCCATCTCCACGGGCGCCTACGTGCGGCTAGGCAAGGTGCTGGGCAATCGCATGATTGACTTGCAAGTCAGCAACAACAAACTCTTTCACCGTGCCGTCGGTATTGTCCAGCGCTTCAGCAAAGCTAGCGCAGAGGCCGCGGAAACTGCTCTTTTGCGCTCGATCTACGGCGTCAATACGCTGACCAAGGTATGCATCAGCCCCATTGCATGTTGCATGTTGTCCCACACCGGACCGGCCACCACACGTGCAGAAAAATGACGCCATCTACCACAAAGGTTTGCCCGCGACTCAAAAAGCCGTCTGATTGGTACACTAGGAACCTGGATTCAGCATCTCCGAGCACGTGCGTGCGGCTACCGAAGCTGCACGAGCTGACCGCCGCATCGTCCCCACTGCCGTCCTGCTTGCCGCACACCCAAGCATGAGCTTTGCACAGATTCAAGAGGTCCGTTTGCCACCCCTCTTGTCGAGTTTGCACACCGTGCTCCGTTCCGCCAGCTCATGCAGCTGAATCACGTAGATGTTGGCTGCTGAACCAGCTGTGGCCCGACACCTGTAATGTGGTTTTAGCGAGAGTGGTGTCCTGACGAGTCTAGACACGGGCATGCGAGCTAGGCAGCAGCCGACCCTTTCCCATTGAAATTCGAACCTGCAGAAACACCAAGAGTCGTGCTGGGCACAAGCCCACCTTCAGAAGCGTTTGCGAGCGTTTGGTTGGATGTTCAATTTCTCAGAAACTCCCTCCCAAGCCCTTTCTCTCCTCGCCTTCTGCCAAATGCTTCGTTTTGTTATCACAGATACGTATTGATGTAGACCCTAACATCTTAAAGCGAGATCAATCATCAGACTGTGGCGGCAGAGTCAACGGCAGAACGCAGCAAACCTTGAAGTTCTTGTGTTCGGACCGCGGCGCTGGTAACCAAAGCGAGCCGAAAGAATGAGGTGTTTGCCAGGGATGCGGATGGTGCAAACCAAGCAGTCGCGTCAAAAGCAAGGGCTCACCTGCGAACAGCAGCTTGCATGGCAGAAACCGGGAGGGGCATGACGGTCTGCATGGTCGAGGGAGCAACGTGCACAGAGGGCAAGTCGGTGCGCAGCACCTTGTCGCCTTGCATTACCACCTAACGGGCCGGACGTTGCGACAAACGCCAGCCAAAGAATTTGAGAAATGAGACCAAGAAGAGCGAGCCTGAAGCTCTCCGAAACACGCCGAGTGCAAAGTAGCACGCCGGGTGCAAAAGTACGCACCGTCATACAAGCAGTCGCCATGTTCTCTTCTTCATGGGTGGGGTCCACGAGAATCTCCTCGCTGTAATAAATGACCAAAACACACAGTGAGTACTCGGATAAAAGGAAGAAATGTTGGGCGGCAACTGGCAACTGGCAGGTCGAGGGATCAAGCGATGCCACGTACGCATCCTGATGCAACCAGGCCATGGTGGCAGCCAGTGGCAGCTGGCCCAGGGAAAGGGCAACGCGCTGGGAAGGATCGACCGTGGGGATTGTGTCTTCGCCGGCATCCTCGTTCTCGTCTGCACTCTCGACCGTTGGAAGCGTAGCTAGAGAGGCACGCACAGACATGGATCAAAGGGTGAGCTGGGCCGGGCACCGCAGAATAGGGCACGGCAAATTGGGTCGGTGTACCAGTCTGCAGCGCCGCCGCAGCGGCTAAGAGGATGGCATCGGGCAAGTTGCCGTCATCATTTAGAACGACGACATCCAAGAAAAGACACCACACTAGTTTGTTGGCTTTGATGACCAGCTGCTCAGGCCTGACCACGTTGTGTCTAGCGATGACAACATTGGGGGAAAGAAAAAAAAAAGAATGAACATTGAGCACGACAAATTGTCGCCTGCACTTTGAGCCTGGCTCTTGAGTAACCCTCCATCAGAGGCAACGCAACAAGATGCGTCGTCAGACCGTAGAAGAATGTCGCTCAAAAAGGTGGACAGGGCCCGCGCTTGGGTGCTTGGGGGTCCGGGTGTGATGGTGCTCGAGCACATGGGAGGCATTGTCACGTTGGCCACTGCAGAAGCGAGCAGAAGCGACAAAGCCGCGAAAATGAAGCGCTGCCTTGAACTCAACCTGCGATGGTACATGCACCAAGCCGTTGCTGCTTACCCAGCCAACCGCTGGCCGCGTTGGGATTCAGAGGCGGATTGGCAAATTCCTACCAAGAAAAGAATGAGTCATGAAATCCAATCGCTGAAGCAAGCGAGGCACAGATTGTGAGAGCGCACCGCTTTGAGAGAAGCCATGACGCTGGTCTTGCCCATCACAACCATGCTTGAGCCATTGGCAGACTGGACCACATTGACGCTGACTCGCGTCACACGCGGCTCGGCCAGCTCACGGCCGTCTGGTCGCACGCCCGCATCCTGGAAAAAAGACCACAGCCATCCGCAATGACCCGGAAGGAATGAGTCTCAGCAAATATCATGACTGTCATGCAACAGTAGCTGCCATGCCATCCACCCTCTGCGCCCCACAGAGCCTGCAACCGAGCCGAGTCGTACCAGGAACCGGCGATAATACTCCAGCGGGAAAATTTTTCTAACCAATCGAGACAGACGCATGAGCCACACACAGCCTTGGCGTCTCATGCCCCCTCCCTCCAGCCCTGAATTTATCCACCATCTCGTGCATTCACAACGCTTCCATCCCCGCCATCAGTGCTTACTTGAAGGCATCTGCCGCCTGCGAATCCGTCGCCGTCGCCGCCATTTTTCCTGTTTTGTTGGATCAAAAAGAGGAAAATGAGGAGCGCGTGGGAATCGACCACCTCACTGCTTTCGTCTCTAATTTCTTATTTTTTTTTTTTTGAATTTTTTTTTTTGAATTTTTTTGATCAAGAACTTCTGGGGCAAACCTCTGATCTGATACTATGAGAAAGGAGCGAGGACTGAGTGAGTGCGGACCCGTGAGCTTCAACTCATCATTGCAGATCGGTCTTCGGATCCCGTCATCTGCATTCCCGAGTTCTAGAAGGCAGAACAGGACCCTCAGAACAGTTGACTGTTTCCTACACTCACTCATCCTCGCTCATAATTCGGGTGGAATGATCGTCACAAGCGGAATATAAGTGTAAGTGATAGGGGGTTTGTTGCATAGACTTGGTCAAACGTGGAGTTGTGTGTGGGTACAGGTTCTTCCACTGGATGCGTTTGGGTTCTTGCATGAAGATGAAGCGGAACGGCTGCGGTTTGTCATGCATGCAACACATGGCTGGCTGTTGCCACAAACACGGCCAATCAGGTTCAAGTGTGCACTCCATTCTATCACATTACACGAAAAGATTGCAGCCTTGACTAGATCAAGGCCTGAACAAATGCAGTAAGGCTTTGCATTGCTTGATGCAGAGCAGCTTCGCTGGCCGTGTAGGAGATGCGAATGTGCTCAGGTGCGCCAAAGCCCGAACCGGGTACCTGTGGTTCAGACCATACAAAATAGGACGTGAGGACAACAAGCTTCACATTCAGAGGCAGGACCATGTCGCAGCCAGCCCTTGCTCGCATTGCATGGAACTGACCATGGAAATGTTGGCCTCTTCCAAAGCGGCGGTGCAAAAGTCATCACCATTCACAATCTTGGTTCCCTGTGGAGTGGTCTTGCCAAAGAGGCGCGCCACCTACAGTCCACAACTCTTTCGTAAGGACCTAAGCTGGCTATGTCACGATGACGCTGCCTGAGATAAACGTACATGGGGAAAGATATAAAAGGCGCCTTGGGGCTTTTGTACGGTTACGCCGTAAGGTGCAAGTGCCGCTAGTGCTTCATACACTAGGGTGCAACGGGTTTGGAGGTTGCGCCGGACCTGCTGCTGGTACTCCACGCCGGTGCGCAGGGCTGCCACGGCCCCCTGCACAATGAACGGTCAAAATGGTGAGTTTATGACACGACGTGACCCCATGCCTGCCACGAGGACGACAGCTTGCCTTTTGCGCGACGCTATTGGCACAGCTCGTGACTTGGCCCTGCAGCTTGCTGACGGCCGTTGCGACGTGGAAAGGCGCAACAATCCAACCAATGCGCATGCCCGTCATGGCGTACGACTTGGACACACCATCCACCACGATGGTGCGGTCATGCATGCCTGGCAATGAAGCGGCAGACACGGGCAAGGGGGCCTCGGGTTCTGCAACCAGTTGATGGTAAATCTCATCCGAAACCAACCACACATGCTTGTAAGCAGGCTCCTGCAGCACGGCCAGGAGTTGCTGCAGCTGCTCCGTGGTATAAACCGCACCCGTGGGGTTGGACGGGTTGCACAAAATCAACTGCATTCACGGCGGTGCACATCCACCCGCGATGAGGCGTCGGAGCGCTACGTGTACAAGCGCTAAACAGGGCGGCGTTGACCAACCAAGCGAGTGCGGGGTGACAGAGCACGGCGAAGATCTTCGGGCTCCATGAGAAAATTGGCCTCGGGGCGACAATTCACCACCCGCACGCGTGCTCCGGCAAACATGGGCTGCTCGCGGTACGTGACCCAGTAAGGAGCAGGCAAAATGACCTCGTCACCGCTCCGGCATAGCGCCATGCACACCTGATCAGCAGCAGGCCGGTTCCACACCAAAAATGCAAAACGTTATAAAGGCACCGCCAGTCGAGGCCCACAGGAAAAGGCACACGAGAGAGAAAATAACTGTGGAAACAAAACGCTACCTGGAACAACGACTGTTTGGCACCGCTCGAAACGACGACGTTGTGAGCTTCACACTGCACCCCACGGTGCTGCACCATGTACTTGGCAACCTCTTGCCTCAGCTCAGCGGTGCCCGCGACGCTCGTGTACCTAGCAAGTGGGCCATGGCGACCGTTGAGTATACCACGTTCTGCAGCGCCAGCGACTGGGAGTTGGCCTACTTCATAAAGTGGTTGTCGAGGGCCTCTTTGCAGGCCGTGATAACACCGGGCGGGCAATGCCAGTCGGGCTCCCCGACATTGAGCTGAACAATGTCTCGCCCCTGAGCAATCAGCTCGTTGGTGCGGGTGTGCACGGCGACCGTGGAGGAGCCCTGCATGGAGGCGATGACCGGGTTGAAATCTTTTTGAGAGCCACCTCCAGCGCCCGGCCCCGCAGCCTCGCGAAGCTGGCCTGCCACACGCTCAAACGCGTGTGCAAAGTCATCAAGAGTCTTTAGGCTATTGCGATTGAACTTGAAGAGCGCCATGAAGAGGTCAAAGGAGTCCTTGCACGTGTTCTCCTGCAGCGTGAGCAAGGTCTGGTAGCCCTTTGTGTTGATGGGAGTGCTGGCCAGCCCGAGCTCGGAGAGAACGCGACCTGTAAAATGCGTGATAAACTGACTTCCGGCGGCGTGACGATCGTGCTCCTCACAGCTCATCTCGACCATGCGACAGCCTTGGTTTTTGAACAGGTCCAGAAATTCTTGCAGGCGCCACAAGTGCGTGCTCTTGCAGCGCACTGTTTCATACACAAAGGGCAAGTCTTGCCAGCCATGACGCCCGCTCTCAGGCCCAAACATGGGGTGCGTGCACACAATGTCGCAGCTTGCCGGCAGTTGGGATAGGAGTACGTGCTTGGGGTGGCTCTTGACCGACAGCACGTCAACCACAAGTCGCCCAGCTACGAGGTCCGGATCGGCGATGAGCTGTGCCACCACGTGCTCAAAGGACAGAATGCTGGGGGCCAAGATCAAGACGTCCAAGCCCGTGGGGGCTGGTTGTCCAGCACGAGCCTTGATGTCGCGGGCTTGGGCATCAATGGCTGCGAGCGATGTGGCAAAGTGCACGTTCAGACGCTGGGCTGCTTCCGTGTAATCGGAGCGTGAGGTGGCATACACAACGTTGTGCGGGTCTTTGACAAAGCTTCGGGCCATAAACTGTCCAAAGTTGCCAAATCCGACGATTCCAATGTGAAGGCGGGCAGGATTGGGGCTGGGCCCGAGACTGGCGGTTTCACGCTTTGCCGGCTGGCGGGTTGTGGTGGGTACGGGGGCTGACGCGGCGTTGGAATCTGGGGCCTGCGTTGGGGTTGCTTTAGGCGCAGATGCCAGGGCAGCAGCTTGGCCATTTGTCGTCGATGCTAGACCAGCGATATCGCGCTTGGCGCGCTTGGTGGTGGGGGCCACCTGTTGCAGAGGGGAAATGAGAACGCCATCGGTGGGGTAGCAACCGAGGACGCGAAGGTAGGAGGTGAGTTCTGCCAGGTGTTCTAGGGCGCTGGTAACGTTGGGGTCGGCGACGTTGCCGTAAAAGTCGACGTAGAACATGTATTGAAATTGGGAGCTGCCCTGCTGAGCAAAACCAGCCTGCTGCGGAGCCAGTTGCCCACTTTCGCCCTGTCCTGCTACGTTGACCTGCAGACCAAAAAAGAAAAAACACAGACAGATGGGCAATGAAGCAAAGCAAGAAAGAATACTCGGGCAATGATTTAGCACAAGGCAGCGGGCATCGTACAGTGCCTGGGCGTGATTCAATTTTGGTCATGTCAATGTCCCGCATGGCCAAGCAGGCAATGGCCTTGAACAGGGCACCGGTGGCATTGGTCAACGAGAAGACTAGAGAATAACGTGGAGTACATGGCAGGGTGGCCATGGCCAAAGCTTGGTCGTCAGATGCGTGATGGACTCGGAATGCGGAGCAGAGGCAGTCACTTCAGGGCGCTGCAGTGGATGCGAATGATACTTACCAATGGAAGTTTTGGCACGGACGGAGAAAGGGGTGACGATGGGTTCCCGGCGCAAGAGAAGAAAGCTGAAGAAGAGAGAGGCGACATGACACAATTTCTGCATGGGCAAGACGCTGGTCGGTCTCAATCCTGCCTACCGGGTGTAGTTGGAGGAGCTATCTTCAATGCCTTCGGCCAGAATCTACATGAAGTGGGTCGGAAAGCAAGGGTGGGCAAGCGGGATTTGTCTGTCGGTGTTGGGCATGGGCGCACCGGACTCGGGAGAGAGAAGGCCAGCGCTTCTACCTTGAGGTTGTAGTGCGAGGCAGCGAGGCGGCTGGCAATGGCGGCGCAGTTGCGCTCCTAACAAGTGCGAGGTAGCAAATGAGGCTCGAGGGTGGGTTGGGGGAGAGGTGTGCTGAGGAAAAGGGGCCAAGGTGTGTGAGCCTTGTACCTTGTTTTGGCTAATGTGCTGCGCACTGCCAGCAGTGTCGTGGTCAGCCTGTAAGAGAAAGAAGAGGGAGCGAGCAGGGGACGTGATGCGGACAGGGCACTGCGAAGAAGCAGCGGGATAGGTTGAGGTTTGTCTGGGTTGTACCTGTGAGGCAAACCCGCAGGAGCGAAGGTAGTTGTCGCACTGGGCCAGCGCCTGAGGGTGTGATTTGACCAAGGTAATCTAGCCAGAGCCAGAGTCAGCGTGCTGCGAAAGTGGCACAGGGGGCCATACTCTTGTCGATCAACCCACCAACCTCGCTTCGGTCAACGTCGGGGAGGCACATGAGGCAGTGTTGCACCCGAAAGTTGAGTTCGGCCACGATGCGGAGGTTGTAGCGGAGGAGCATGTCAAAGTTTGTGTGAATCGAGCCACCCAGCGTGTTTTCGATCGGAATCTGGGAGGGGGGGGGGGGGGGGGGG